ATTGTACAGATTGTCAACAGCCACACTAGAATCTCTTATGTTTCGTTTAGTGTGATTATAAACTAACTCTAGATTTGGTTGTGTTTTAGAGAGCAGGAGGAAGCTGAAGGAGAACGATGACATTCAGCTTCTGTAGTTTGTACGGATTCTATAAAATGACTTTGAGCTAAAAGTTCAGGGCTTTATAGATTTGAATTTAATTCAAAATTAGCGTAAATATTTTTCTCTTAGCCTGAAATATACCATGCTCACAAGGTGAAGCATATCTTACTAAATTAAATTAAAGCGATGACACAAGTCGTCTGGGCCAGACCTTCTTCTTTCAGGGACTGCTTGGTTCAGCCTATGCAGTTGTTGGAGGACCCGGCCCACGTAGACCAGAAGGCCGGGTGAGGATGCAGCCCACCAAGTGAAACACACCTTGTAAAAAGTCGAAATAAAATATGCTGACTCGCCTTCACACCGGACCCCTGACCCCAGGGTCGGAGAGGTCAGAGGTCAACAAGGCAGAGATATGAGGAACCTACCAGCTGTTTCCTGAGCAGCAGGATGTTCTCCTGCAGAAGCTTCTCCTCCGAGCTCAGCTGAAGCTCCTCCTGCTTCTCCTCCCGGAGCTCCAGAGCGGCTCGGACCTGCTCCTCCTGCCGCTGCCGCACGTACTCCAGCTCCGCCAGCCCGGACACGGTGGCCTCCAGCCGCTCGCGCTTATGCCGCTGCTGCTCCGCCGCGTCCGCGTCAGCACCACGTCGATCCGGCTCCATGTCCGTGACCTGGCGGTCTCTGCCGCATCAGGGTCCGGACGGTCTGCGGGAGCCGGACTGCATGGCAGCAGATCAGCCGGTTCGGTAGACCCGGTGGACAAACCGGGTCTGAGAGCCCGGTCAGACGGATTAGACCCTTGCGCAGACACACCGGGGATAATTATCCGGTAAATCACAAAGAAGCTTCCGCTCCTCCTGCCGCTGCGTCCAGACTGACCCGCCGGGAAGCCCCGCCCCCTCCACGCTGTCAGGCAGCCAGTCCCCTTCAAAATAAAATGTACAGTTCTTTATTTTCATCAGGAAAAATTTAAATAAATGAGTTTCTAGATTTCGAGTGTAGTTACTTTGTTCTTAGACGCTATACACTAATACATGACGATATATTATCATTGATTATATACAGTGAACACATGAATGCATCAATAGTTATACTACTATAAGATAATATAAATTATTCTTTCACATTTGGGACAATTCTTTCTCATAATTCTTTTGTTCTTTTACTTTTAATTTGAGTGCAGTAAAAGCTCAGAGTACTTCCTCCAACACTGACAATATCACATTGAGGGAAAAAAACAATTTATGAGTGATTCCTAATGTATGTATCCATCCATCCATCCATCTTCAGCCGCTTATCCGGGGTCGGGTCGCGGGGGCAACAGCTCCAGCAGGGGACCCAAACTTCCCTTTCCCACATCTACCAGCTCTGACTGGGGGATCCGAGGCGTTCCCAGGCCAGTGCAGAGATATAATCTCTCCACCTGGTCCTGGGTCTTCCCCGGGGCCTCTTCCCAGCTGGCCGTGCCTGGAACACCTCCCTAGGGAGGCGCCCAGGGGGCGTCCTCACCAGATGCCCAAACCACCTCAACTGGCTCCTTTCGACGCAAAGGAGCAGCGGCTCTACTCCGAGCTCCTCGCCAATGGCTGAGCTCCTCACCCTCTAAGGGAGACGCTTGTACCCGTGACCTAGTTCTTTGGGTCATGACCCGTCCTTCATGACCATAAGTGAGGGTAGGAACCAAGATTGACCGGTAGATCGAGAGCTTTGCCTTCCGGCTCAGCTCTCTTTTCGTCACCACGGTGCGGTAAAGTGAGTCTCGCCCCGCTGCTCCGCTTCTCCACCCAAACTCACACTCCATCTTCCCCTCACTGGTGAACAAGACCCGAGGTACTTGAACTCCTTCACTTGGGGAAAGGATAATTGTATTATGAATTACAACTATTATCTAAATATTATACAAATCAAATCTATTTCATTATGTACTTGTATATTATGTTTTTGTATGTCGTGTTGAAAAGGCTTTAAGTTAACTTGTATATCCCTGTGTTGCATAATGACAAAGTAATCCTTAAATCCTTGAATAGTTTACATTACAAATTATTTTTACATGAGAAATACTTTTAAATTATATTTTAATTGCATCCTTTACACATTATCTTTAGCAAAATTTATATTATTGTGATGACGCCTGTCTGACTGAAGACAGCAAGCAGAATAAATCGCCATGGTTACTTGGCTGCGTTTAATTCAACCTGCTTTCGTGCAACCAAGTCAAAGCTAAATTCATCCAGGATAACATGAATATCCCGACTTAATCCCTCATCCTGGTTTCAGATAAACCTCAGGCCTCAGGTCAACTGCTTTGATGTTCTTTGTGACACAGAGGTTTTAAAAAACTAATGAGATGATGAATGTTATGTAAACTTGTGACGCATGTAAAGCGTCTTTGAGTACAGGGGTCGTCGTGGCGCAGGGGTTAGAGCTGGTGTGCTGGGAAGCACAAGGTTGGTAGTTCGATTCCAGGCTGCCCCATGTTCCATGTCAAAGTGTCCCTGAGCAAGACACCTAACCCCTAATTGCTCCCCAGGCAAAAATGTGAAAAAAAGCCATGGGTTTAAAGTATAATGTAAGTCGCTTTGGATAAAAGCGTCTGCTAAATGACCTGTAATGTAATGTAATGTACTTATAAATAAAATGCATTATTATTATATTAGTAAGTAGATGGAAGCATAGCAAGCAAAGCACGAGTGTGTAATTCTCCTGTAGTTGCTGTCCAGTCGTTACTTTCAGGGAGTGAGATGCTTCACAGGAGTGAGGGTCTTTGAATGCATCGTACCTGTGAGTGGCCCCACAAATTGGGAAAAACTGGCATGTGTGTGTCCTGATGCTCCAATAATGCCACTTCCTCCTAATCATCCTCTCGTCTGCACCGTGTTTACAAAGTGTGTGGATGTGATGGTCAGACAGTTCTCAGATACACACGTTTGAAGAACAGAACGTTGGTCTTGATCTTGTTATTAATTCAGGTCAAATAAATGTTATGATTTGAGTTTTTAATGAGAATATTATTTCATGAAATAAAACGCATGGTTTAATTTTCACAGATTAAAGAAATCAGACCACAAACGCATCACAACCCGCTGAAAAATGAAACTTTATAAAAGAAGGAATTCAGCTGAACTGAGGTCAGAGGTCACCGAGAGTCAATGTGAGATCATCAGCCAGACGATGAGGCCGAAGAAGGTTTTCTAGAAAACATCAGTGGAGGAGTTTGTTTCTGCTGCTACACTGACCTCCTCTTCCTCCTCCTCCTCCTCCTCCTCCCTCACGACTCCTCTCTGCTGAGACAAACACATGGATATCAATTAAACACGAATTATCCGATTGAATGATTTTATTTTATACACAACTGACAAATTAATTCAGTACAATAAATCAAATAAAAAGCTTCTGATCTGACACACACACACACACACACACACACACACACACACACACACACACACACACACACACACACACACACACACACACAGGGCTATTTGTACTCCTCAGTAAGCAGAGTGTGGGTTGGTGTGTGCGGCTCACCTGCGCTGTAATAAGTGTGTCGTCCAGGTGAGGAGAAGGAGACGAGGACCCGTCGGTCTGGAGGTCAGAGGTCAGAGTCCCGATTGTCTCTGCCATCAGGTCACCCACGGCAGCTGAGCTCTGATTGGTTGCTTCAAACGAAACTGAAGGAAAAGCGATGTGATGTCACAGGGATGTCAGGGTGATGTCAGAGGGAGATGATTGATCCCAAAACCCAACACAACATTCACTTCCATCCACTCTGTCTGGAACCAATCTGACGCTGATGAGTCTCGCCCTGTTTACGATGACACAATGCTGATGGCTGTGACATCATGGCGTGGTGAGTTCGGTCTGAAGGCGGTCCTACCTGCACACATACGGATCTGTCCAGGTGAACAGGTGCTGTCCTGTTCAGTCCCGCTCTGCCTCACCTCCTCCCCCCGATCCCTCCTCCTGGCGCCCTGAGGACGCAGCAGGTCAGAGGTCACGTGTGTGTTTGCGCCTGTCTGCCAGCGTGTGTGTGTGTCCGTGTGTATTTTTGTACCTTTTTCGACTTCTGCCAGTCATGACCTCTGACCTGTCCTTCACTTATGGGGTCAAAGTCCTGGAAGATGAAAAATAAATACCTCAATGCCATTACTGCTTTAACTGTAGTATTACTGCTTTAACTGTAGTATTACTGCTATAACTGTAGTATTACTGCTATAACTGTAGTATTACTGCTATAACTGTAGTATTTCTGCTTTAACTGTAGTATTACTGCTATAACTATAGTGTTACTGAATTAACTGTAGTATTACTGTTATAACTGCAGTATTACTGCTATAACTATAGTGTTACTGAATTAACTGTAGTATTACTGCTATAACTATAGTGTTACTGTTATAACTGCAGTATTACTGTTATAACTGCAGTATTACTGCTATAACTATAGTGTTACTGTTATAACTGCAGTATTACTGCTATAACTATAGTGTTACTGAATTAACTGTAGTATTACTGCTATAACTATAGTGTTACTGTTATAACTATAGTGTTACTGTTATAACTGCAGTATTACTGCTTTAACTGGAACATGATTCTTACCATTTCCTGTATCTCCTGAAGAGAACTGGAGAAACTGAAGACGCTGTCCTCTGAGAGACAGAGAGAGATATTTGAGTGAATTCTTAGTTTTTTGGATTAGTTTAAATGTTGAGATGAAGTTGGCGATGATGAAGATGATGTTGGAGATGGAGGTGATGATGAAGGTACCCGCCATGGCAGCTAGCTGGTGGACACTGAGGAGCAGTTCTCCCTCTGAGATGTGTTTCAGTGCTGCGTCTGTCTCTGCAGTCACTGTGCTGCAGGACTCCTCTGAGGAGCTGGAGGAGGATGCTGGTCTGGGATCAGGACCACGAGGAAGAGGAGACTCTGGTCTGGGATCAGGACCACGAGGAAGAGGAGACTCTGGTCTGGGATCAGGACCACGAGGAAGAGGAGAGGGGGAGGGAGGAGGGGAAATGTAGGGGGGAGGAAGAGGGGAGAAGAAAAGAGGCTCCTCTTCTGCTACTGACATCACCCTGCAGGATGAGAGAATGATGTATGTGTGTCCTACACCTCCCACAATGCACCTGGACATTAGTCTTTCATTGTGGACATACAGCAGATCTGCGCGGGTTTCCAGGTGTTCCTCTGGTCTTTCTTCATCCAATGGTAGCTCAACGTTTTCCCAGGTCAGAGGGGGAGGGGCTTGATGGACAGCAGAAGGACTTCCAGCAGAGGGGGCGGGCTCTAGGCTGGAGGTGGGTGCGACTACAGGCTCTAAGGGTCATAGTCAGACGCAGAGAGAAAGAGACAACACATCATCATTAGCTACAGTCATATCTTCAAACAACAAGTACCCGAGTACATCTTCAGAAGTACAAGTACACAACTACATCTTCACAGGTACTACTTCCTGTTGGACTACAGCAACACTGCTGCTGTGTCTGACCTTGCGCTGTGATTGGCTGAGGAGACTCATCATTCAGCATACTGGTTGGTTCAGAGGGAGGGGGCGTGGCCTCTCTGCTGGAATGCCGAGGTGTCGGTACTGGTGCAGGAATCAGTGGAACCAGTTCATCCTAGAACAGAATCAGGAATGAGTTTGTGATCAGAATTAAGGAAACAGTGAAGACTGAAAACTCCGTACCTCCTCACGGGATCCTGGACCTGGTTCTGGTGGCTCTGGTTCCGGGTCTAGTGATTCCCTCTGTCCAAGCAGCAGGGCGACTTGCTCCGTCAGAACCTCACTAACCAGCTGACGGATCAGAGCCGAGTCCACTGACATGTTGGAGTCAACAAAGAGCTGCAAACCTCCACCTCCTGCTACCGCTACTGAACCCTCAACAACAGCAAACAATAACAACAACAACAACAACAACATGATGTCAGAAGAAACACCAACAACACTGCTGAAACAAACAATAACAATAACACCAAAAGTATCAGACAGAGCACCAACATGAAAACGCTCTGACCGGCTCACCAGTGTCTGAGGCGGCGCTCTGCTCCAGTGACTCTGATTGGTCAGTCGGACCCTTGTGGGTGGGACCAGAAGGAGGGGGTGGGTACATCTCTGAGATCATGCGGGACATCAGCTGCTGCTCCACCCTGAACAGACCGGATCAGTTCAGACAGGCTCAGACTGGCTAAGACCAGCACAGACCGCTTCAGACCGGTTCAGACCAGCACAGACCGCTTCAGACCGGTTCAGAGCAGCACAGACCGCTTCAGACCGGTTCAGAGCAGCACAGACCGCTTCAGACCGGTTCCTTACCATTCCACCAGCCGGTTCTCAAGGACGTCTCTCTGCAGATCGAGGTCCCGCACAGAGACCTGATCCGTCGTATGGAGGACGGATCTGGTCTGTGGAGGAAAGACTGGACCCTGATAAAGAACCGGAGGAGGAGACGGACCTCCATCCAGCTGCACCTCCTCCTCGCCTTCCAAGCTCAGCTCCTCCTGCTGGAACAAGGAATCAATAGGATGAGAGGAGATCAATACGTTTGTAGATGTATGAGCCATTGATTAGTTCTGATGATCTAAACATTTAGTTCAGAGGAGAAAGCGGAGGAGGTGTTCCGTTTGTTTCCAGCAGGGGGAGCTGTAGAACTTAAGCTCATTCACACAAGGTGTCTCAAAGTCGCTAGTCTGCATCCTTGTAGCCTGCAGCCTTCAGCAGCCTTCTGGTCTACCTGGGCTGGTCCTCCAACAAACGCATAGGCTGAACCGAATGGTCTGTGAAATGGGACGGTCTGTCCTACGGGGACGTCCTGTCTGCGTCATCATCTTTACCTCCACGTCTCCCGTTGCCTAGCAACCTGTTGAGCTTAACAATAAAAGCCTTATAACCCAGAAAACGATTTAATTTAATTTAGGAAGATACGCTTCTCCTCCGGAGAATAAATTAAATCAGTTAGTTTATAATACTTTACTAATTTATAACTACTTTCAGCTAAAAGTAATATTGCAATTTTAAGGCAGAGGAGATTCCATCAATGTTGTCAATAAAAACACATTTATTAACTTGTATGCAAGGACCTTTTCTTTTTTTCTTGCATTGTAAATAAACTACAGACCAGCTGCTCGTTGTGTGTTTGTTATAATGTGTTATAATGTGTGTTGGTATATTGATCCATAAGAGCAGAACATGGACCCGGGGGGTTCAGGTGAGAGTCCGGCTCAGGGGCCGTATGTTAACGTCATCACTAAGAGCACTTTGTTCTAGCGTCTTATGTGAATTTAAAAACATCGGTTACCAACGTAACGTAACTATATGATTTCATAAGCTAAAATGTGATGTTATATTTTATATTATAACATTTCTATTGGTAGATAATGGAGTGAATTCCTTATTAATTAATTACTTAACGTTACATTTAAAAGTGAACTCGTCCGCGTAATGTAGATACAGGATGAGAGGAAGAGGAAGAGGAAGATTACCTGTACGACATCAGCCACAGACAAGAATTCAGTCCCAGGAAAGACGTCCTCTTCTTCACTCTTCTCAATGATGTCCGGAGGAGGCGGGGCCTCCGGCTGCTCCTCCCCCTGGCAACACAAAACCCCTCAGTGACTTCGAACCTCCTGGGAGCTTTATTTATTAAAAGAAGTGGAATAAATAAATTTAATTCAACATTCTTTTTTGATGTTTATGTCTTCAGCTCATCGTCAAACTAAAGTCCTGACGTATGATGACAGCTACATGAAATATGAGAAGAATTAGATCTGATTGTATTACAAGCTAAGGTCTGATCCAGCCTTGTGCAGGGTCCTCTGGGACAGTCTGATATCATCACGGGTCTTTTACTTTCCCAGACCCCGACCCAAACCAGACTCAGAACCTGCAGGGTCAAGCTCACATAAATGTCTTTCAAGAGCGAAGCGTTTGGGCTCCTGGAGCCAGAAAGATGAGCGAGTAGTTTCCCGTCTCATGCTGAAGCTGCAGAAACCTCACATGTGACTCAGGCGCTCCGGCGTCCTCGTCGACCACACAATGCGCAGGAGCAGCTACAGTTGGCGATGTCACTTCCTGTCGACGCTCAGCGAGACGCATGGAGGACGAGACTGTCCTGGGATGTCCTGAGGGGGACGGACGACATCTTGCAGTAAACAATACGTGACGCGTGTCTCGTACTTGCATGTACAAGTACCTCGTACACAGTACACTTTAATCTGTCTCAGTGAAAATCTAAAAAACATGTTTGTGTGACACATTCATACAAAATCAAAACACTGACTGACCCAGTGGGATCGCCATGGCAACGGAGCCTCTGACAGCTGGGCTTTCTGTGAGGTCACCACAGGTCAGTTGGCAGGAACTGATGATGTCACAGTCCTGAGGTCCCCCAGGTGACGTCTGAGTCTTACGAGACTTCACTTTCACACCTGAAAGAGACGCGGGGAGCTCTACAGAAACAGACTTTGCATTCAATAGAACTTTATTGATCACGACAGCCCTACCTGTGACGCTCTCCACCAGCCGGGGGCGGGGCTTCCTGCTGAGCGGAGAGACAGGTGAGCTGAAGCGCAGGTACGGACTCTTCTTCAGGGTCCGCCTCAGACCTTCATACGGAGCTCGGCCGTACAAACGAGTCAGGTACGACTCACCTGTGGCCGGGTCAGGCTCCGCCCCCAGCATCTGGAAACAGACATCACAGCAGTGAGCTCTCACCTGTCCTCGACCAGTCAGATCACTGGAATGAAGGGCCACACTGACCGGTCCACGCCTTCCTCTCCCCGCCGCACGCTCCCTTCCTGTTGCTCTGAGCGCGTTCGCCGGCCTCCCCCGACCTGTGTGGGCGGAGCTCCCAGCGGCCCTCTGCTGTGATGTCATCGCAGGCCCCTCGGAGGACACCTCCTCCTGGAGGAGAAGATCATGTTTGTTGATTTATTACGATAACATCATGGCCATTGATGTTCAACGATGTGCATGTGCAAATATATATTTATGTATTTAATATTTGAATAGCTCACCTGGATATCTCTGGTTGAAGTATTGATCCAAGCATCCACCGTCTTCTTGACCCGTACCTCCTCCCTCCAGTCTCTGCAGAGGACAGAGGATTATTTATTGAAGTCCCCCCTCGATGTCCACCATAAGACCGTAATTCAGAATAAATATTCAGGTTTTTTTAGTCAGTTAGATGTTTCACATCAACAATGTCTTAGTTGTAAAACTGTTAAAGTATAAAGCTAAAAATACTTGAAAGTGACGAGATGTGTAGGAGCAGGAGGTCTAACCCTTCTTTACCCTCTCCGACAAAACAAATCAACTAAGCTAAGCTAAGCTTATGCTAAGCCACCCTATTAGCTGCCTGTTAGCAGCCAGTCAGCTAGCATAAGCTACCTGTTAGCAGTCAGTCAGCTAGCATAAGCTACCTGTTAGCAGTCAGTCAGCTAGCATAAGCTACCTGTTAGCAGCCAGTCAGCTAGCATAAGCTACCTGTTAGCAGTCAGTCAGCTAGCATAAACTACCTGTTAGCAGCCAGTCAGCTAGCATAAGCTACCTGTTAGCAGCCAGTGCGTCCAGTTGGCAGTGCAGAACCTCTCCGGTTTGGGCTCTCAGCAGGGCATCCAGGTTTTCCTCCAGAACCTTCTTCTGTCTCCGTACCCGATGGAGAACCAGACCTGCCTCCTCCAACACGGAGAGAACTACAGGTGTCCTCTGGACCAGTGTGTCCTGGAACTGCTGCTGGGAGCGTGACTGACACTGATGGGGCCGGAGTGGTTGGAAAGGACCTTGATGGGACTGGGACTGGCTTTGTTGGGACGGGTGTCTGTCTGGTCCAGATGCGGTGGTCTTCAGAGAATCTTCTGGCTGTTGTACGAAAGAAAGTGAGTCAGACTTTGGACCAAAAGATCGACTACTGCGTTCTGCAACTGTGTTGATTTACTCTCAGTAGCATCTTCAGTTGATTCTTCGTGCGTTCCGTCTCCCTCAGCGTCTCATTGGCTCTCCTTGTCCATCCCTCACCGTCATTGGTCGAAGGCTGCAGACTTCCTGCAGGTTGCAGGGTAACCGAGGAAACGACGGATGCATCTCTAAGACACCGGTTAAGAGAGAGTAGAGTAAGAGCGGATACAAGAAATATATGTAAAATATGTATATCTATTGTACATATGTAGCGATATTCTCTCTGTGTATATATACAGTGGGTAGAAGTATTTGATACACTGCCGATTTTGCAGGTTTTCTTTGCAAGTATGTAATTTGTATTCTTCAACTGAGAGTGATGGAATCTAAAACAAATCCAGAAAATCACATTGTATGATTAAAATATATATATAGATATATGTATATATTGCAGTTTATTACATGACATAAGTATTTGATCACCTACCAACCAGTAAGAATTGTCTCTCAGACCTGTTGGTCTTCAGGAAGCCGTCCTGTTCTCCACTCATTACCTGAATTAACTGCACCTGTTTGAACTTGTTATCTGTATAAAAGACACGTGTCCACACTCAACCAATCAGACTCCAACATCTCCACAACGGCCAAGACCAGAGCGCTGTGCAAGGACGTCAGGGATCGAGCTGTAGACCTGCACAAGGCCGTGATGAGCTACAGGACAACAGGCAGCAGCTTGGTGAGAAGACAACAACTGCTGCCGCAATAATTAGAAAATGGAAGAAGTTCAAGATGGTGGTCAGTCTCCCTCAGTCTGGGGCTCCACGCAACATCTCACCTCGTGGGGCATCAATGATCATGAGGAGGGTGAGGGATCAGCCCAGAACTACACAACAGGACCTGGTCAATGGACCACCATTAGTAACACACGAACGCTGTCATGGATTAAAATCCTGCAGGACACACAAGGTCCAAGGTCGGACAATGCCATTGACCATCGGGATGATCCAGAGGAGATATGGAGAAGGTCATGTTGTCTGATGAGACAAAGATAGAGCCTTATGGTCTAAACTTTTACGTTACATTACAGGTCATTTAGCTGACGCGTTTATCCAAAGCGACTTACATTACACTTTAAACCCGTGGCCCGGGTCAACTAGGGGTCAGGTGTCTTGCGACATGGGGCAGTCGGGACTCAAACCACCAACCTTGCGGTTCCCAGCGCACCTGCTCTACCCCCTGCGCCACGACGACCCCCCGCCGTGCTTGTTGGAGGAAGGATGAGTACAACTCCAAGAACAGCAGCCCAACCATGAAGCACGGAGGTGGACACCTCATCCTCTGGGGAGGCTTTCTGCACCGCATTGGGGGGAGGATGGATGGGCCGTGCACCGCCAGATCTCAGCCAACAACCTCCTTCCATCAGTGAGGGCATTGAAGATGGGTCGTGGCTGGGTCTCAACCCGAAACGCACAGCCGGGGCGAGAAGCATCCCAAGGTCCTGGAGAGGCCTTGCCAGCCTCCAGACCTGAACCCAGTAGAAGTTCTTTGGAGGGTGCTGGAAGAACGTTGCCCAGCGACAGCTTGAAAGCTGAAGGATCTGGAGAAGGTCTGGGTGGAGGAGTGGGCCCTGCTGCAGGGTGCGAACCTGCTCAAGAACTACAGGAACCACATGATGTCTGTAACCGCAAACAAAGGTTTCTGTACCAAATATTAAGTTTGGCTTTTCTCGTGTCTAAATATGTCATACAATAAACTGCAAAATATTGTTTTAAATCTTACGATGTGGATTTCTGGATTTTTGTTTTAGATTCAGTCACTCACAGTTGAATAGAACCTACAATAAAAATTAGACTCCGACTTGCTTTGAAAGGGAAAAACTGCAAAATCAAATACTCCCTACTGTGCATGTACTATATATTTATACAAATAAAAAGAATGAAACTAGACTTTCAGTGATGCAGGTTAACAGCTTTGCTTCCATCAACACTGGAAGAGGTTTAAAAATAAAATGTCCACATAAGAATTGCCGACATTTCTGTCGCTGCTGCAGCAGTAACAATAATACAGATCAGCCCCGCCTTCTCTCCGACACACACACACACACACACACACACACACACACACACTCACACTCTCTGGTGTCAGAGGACACCACATTGTGTGTCTGTGGTTGTTGAGACAAAATGGCCGTCTTGTCGAATGACGTTCTCCGTCTCTGTGGCTGTTACTAGGCAACGTGGTTGAGATGTGGATGAGAGAGCAGCTTCCATTCACAGGCTCTTCCTCTCCTCACCATGGTAACCAAACCATCCCACATGACGAGGAGCAAGAAGAGGAAAACAGTTGTGTATAAATATACACAATACACTTACATACATGTGTATATATACACCCATGGAGTAGAGAGGGTGCGCCGAGATGACATATTTATATATATATATATATATAATCTCAGATACTGATAATAATGCAGTGAATGAAAGCTCCATCTCACACACACAGACCAGTGCAGCAGTTCACATTGTACACGCACACTTGTGTATCTGCAATGCAGCAATAAAACACTAGCGATACGTCCAATGTGAGCGTAAACAAAGGCCATGTTTACATTTGACTACTCCTCATAAACATTTACCCAGAATGCAACAGGTTTAAGGTCATAAAGAAGGAAGCGCCACACGTCAGTGAAACGTTCTTTATTAAACGGGCTGAGCTGCAAAATCTTTGTTGTCGTCTTTGAGCCAAATATGAATAAAACTAATAATAGAAAAACAGACTTATGTAGAAAAACGTCAAATAAAAAACAAATTAACAGCTACATTTTTACAGAAAGATAAGAATAGTTTTACAAACGGAAGGTGTTGACGTCACTCCGCGTCGGCTACGATGACGTCACGTCCCTCCTCCTCATGTGTCCCGTTCCTTCTTCACCTTCACCTCCCCCCCCAGGATGGTGGCTATCTCCCCCTGCATGAAGGCCCAGGGCACGTTGGAGCCCAGCAGGGGGCACTTGTCCCCGCTGGGGCAGTACACCTCCCCGCACGCGCCCTGGGCCTTGATGCTCTCGCGTGAGCACGGGAAGCAGAACTTGTGGTTCGGGACCGACGGGCACTGCACGAAGTGCGTGTCCTCCAGCCGCTCGTGGCAGATCGTGCAGCACAGCGGCGCGCTGCTGGCCGCGGGGCAGTCGGGCACGCTCTGCGCGTGCACCTGGTCCGAGTCCCCCGTGGGGTCCCCGCCGCGGGACAGGAGGCGCCGCGGACCGGACACGGAGGCCGGGGACACCGGACCGCTGCCGGTGTGTCTGGAGGACGACGTGGTGGAGTGGACCGAATCGCGGTCCTTGTTGGGGGAGTGCGCGCTCCCGAGCGCGTCCATCGGGGACGGTCCGTTCTGCAGCGAGTCCGGCGGGGAGACGAGCCCGGTGCTCCCGGTGCTCCCGGTGTGACCGGAGAACGGGAGTCGCAGCGCTTCCGTCTGGCTGCCGGTCCACTGCTGCTCGCCCCCCCCCACCACCGAGTCCGGTTCCGGCGAGGCTCTGCGCTTCCTCACGCAGGTCCTGCTGCTCCCGCTCCCGGATGCCGGAACCCGGCAAAGGGTAGAACCGGGAAGCTCCCGTCGGTGTGCGGCTGCGGCAGCATGTCGCCCCCCAGCCCCTCCCTAAAGAACCGGAGGGGCTCCGGTAACAGGTCCCCGAGCAGGCGCCAGTCACCGGAACCGTGCTTCTTCTCGTACTCCAGGTACTTGAACCCGGAGGACAGAGCCCGGCCGAACTCCTTCATGCAGTCCTGGTACATCTGCTTGGCGACCCCGGAGGCGCTGGAGAACACGGTACCGGATCCGGACGGGTACTCGATGAAGATCTTCAGCTCGTGCTCCTGACCCGGTTTGGACACCGCGTCGAAGGCGAACACGCGGCCCACCAGCTGCGGGTCCTTCTTGAAGCGGACGTCGAACGGGACGCACCCGGAGAGGGAGTGCAGCGTGTCCCGCACCGGCTTCGGTTTGCCGGTCCAGTCGTCCTGCCGGTTCCGCAGGCTGTCGCTCAGCTCGGACAGAACCTCCGCGTTCCGCTGCTTCTCCTTCAGCTCCCGGTCCTGGTCCGAGCTGGACACCGGGGCGGGCCGCTTCCCTCCGGATCCGTTCGGCGGCGTCTGAGGGAGCAGGTTGGGCGGTACGTGTATCTTTCCCGGTACCGGCACCGGCCCAACGAGGCTCCGAACCCTCGAGTTCGGGCTCTGACGGTTTAGCTCGGGCGGCCCTTCGTCCGGTTTGAACCCGTTGGGTCCGACTCCGTTGGGCAGCCGGTAGTCGAACCGAGCCCGGCTATCCGAGAGCGAGTATTGGTCCAAACCGGGCTGCTGAGACCTCCCCGGTCCGTCCGGTTGGTGCTGCTGGCTCTTCTGCTGCTGAGGAGGAGGGGGGGGAGCTCCGGGGGGCGGCTGGACCTCTCGGAACCCGTGAGCCCGCTTCAGGTGTCGGGCCGTCTCGATGACGAACTCGATCCGGTCTGCGCCCTCGTAGTTGACGCATACCGCGGCACACCGGTTCCGTAAAGTCCCAGATCACCGCCCAGCTCATCCGGGGCAGGTCGCACAGGTAGCAGGACTGTCTGCGCGACGAGGAGGACATGGTCCCGGTACCGGGGAGGAGGACAGACAGAGCGACTCTCTCCGCTTATTGTTCCCGCTGCTGCTGCAGAGGGAGGCGGGGGGAGGAGGGGGGAGGAGGAGGGGGAGGGAGGAGGAGGGGGAGGAGGCGGGGGGAGGAGGGACGAGGAGGGGGGCGTGCGCCCTCTTGGAATGCCACCTGGTTTAGCAAGTGACGTAATCGCCGCCCCGTTTCAGACTGTAATGTCACGCTGGGTCACGTGACAGATCGAACAAAAGACACGTGACAGACCTCGTGACCTCATCTCTGATGTCAGCCGGTAGCTTTAATTTATTTTATTCATATTACAGTGTTATAGTGTAATAATATACTAGATAATATTTTTGTGTGTTCTTTAATTAGCAATAAATAAATCAATCAATAAAGCAATAAATCATTTTAAAAGTATATATCATCTATCTTTCTATATTATATTAATCAAATAATTGCTCTGTATAGCTTATTCTGCTTGATTATGTTTCATCCCCTTATTATTATTGGATGTTGTTAGGCAGATTCTGCCCTCTTAACCACCACACTGATGCATTATGGGACAAATATAGATATCAAAATCAAAACCTGCCCTGAGGACTTAATGTGTCTCACACACACACACACACACACACACACACACACACACACACACACACACAGTACGCTTTGTGTTACCGTGGAAACCCGACGCGCTTTGAGGACGAGGAAGGAAAGCAGATAGACAACGAGCCTCGCTCTTCTTCACTCTGACCGTCCAATAGGAGTGATACAGAGGTCTGGTAACCATGGAGACACAGCTCTGTCTGCCCCCTCCCTCACCTGGTTTGCTCTGTCCATCGGTCATGACGGGTTGTTCCCATAGCAACTGTGCAGGTCGCCATGGCCATGGGGGAGCTTTGCTGGTGGTGGCTGAGGACGCCAGCTGATGGAGACAAAAAGACGCATCATGAAGGAGGAAGGGTCAGAGGTCAGCAGATCAGGAAGGAGGTCTGGATCGTCTCAATGCTGCACTCATTAAATTACAAAAGAAAAGGTGGAAGGAACAAGACGGCAAGTGAGCCGGAGAAAGCGAGAGAAAGGGACAAATTCTTATTGAGGTATTGATTACATGCAGATGTTGATACTCCTTCCCTCTGTTTAATCACACTAAGCAGTCACATTATGATCTTTGCTCTTCACATCTGAATATTGGTCTCCCGTTTCCTCCCTGAGGTTTCAGAGAGTTGTGCTGCCACCTGGTGGCCTCAACCATCCGTCACAAGCCGCTTTATTCGCCATGTACATCCATCATGCTGTACAGTTGTTAAATAAGTATTTACCAGTAAGCATTTTTGTTTCATATTTACAACACTGACACTGGAGACCGATTTAGAAGAAACCAGAGCTGGTTCTGCTCAACCAGCTTCACAAAGAAGAAGAACCGCGTTTACCTGCCGGGTCCAGCTGAGTGACCTGGAGAGGCAGAGTCCCTGACGCTGTGAGGTCAGAGGTCACGGGTGAAGGACCCGTCACCACCGCGAGGGACGACTCCAGCAGCGGCTTCTGATTGGAGGAGAGCAGAGCCAATAAGCAGTCAGAGTCACAGCCAAAGGTGAACAGGTGAGACGTTTACCTACAGAGACACACACACACACACACACACACACACACACACACACACAGTCAGAGATCAGATCTACCTTGATAAAAGCATCGGTGACATCTCCAAGGAAACCAGAGAAAGGCCCCGCCTCCTTTCGGCCTTCCACACCCACTGCATTCTGGGAGCTGGTCCTGAGTGGCCCAGGGTCCAACAGCTGCACTTTGACCTCCCTCCTGTGAGGGGCGCTGTGAGACCTGAGGATAGACAGGAAGTGACGTTCAATCAACAGAAACACAGATTGCTTTTAAAGGTAAAATACACACAACAAGAATATTGAGGACCAACTTTCTTTGATCACAGCTGGAACTTTATTGACAAAGGTCACTCATGACACCAATGAAGCGCTGAGTCAGCAGAGGAGCCAAAGTCTCCTTCAGAATAAAATGAGTCTAAAACCTAAACCGGACTCACCGTTGTTTCAGAGCCGCGAGTCCGACTCCCCGACCTCCAGGGTGGAACCGGGACGTCAAAAGGTCGTGACCTGAGGGAGAAGATGTCAGCAGAGTGATGATGTCACCAGACATCGAAAAGATTCAGGCTTCGGTTGCTCAAAGGCTCCCGGGCAGAAGAGTCCAAACCGTCAGACACATGACTGTGATTCAGAGTCAGCAGATCCCAATAACCAATAACACAACAAATCATCTCAAAACGGTCAATAATCAACCGTAGACAGTTTTGAAAGTCTATTGATCGACTACTGATTGTTATTGATTGACTGATGGATGGATTGACTATTTTATTGATTCATTGAGGAATATATTGATTGATTGATGAAGCTGATGGTCTCACCAGGCTGCTGGTCTTCCCGTGTCCCCCCTGAGAGCTTCCTGTCTGGACTGGACTGGGCTGCTGGGGGCTGCTGAAGGACAGTTTCAGATATAAAGTCACATTTTATAATTGATTATTGATTAAGGAACACATTTATTTCAATAATCTGTATCATTTGATGCAGCTGTGGTCTCTTTATTTATGCTTCAACAGGAAACAGGAAGTGTTGTCGACAGGAGAAAAGGGGGACTCACTCTTCTGGGCTCTCTGATCTCTTTGGGTGGTTCAGGTCTCTTCATTCGGTCTGTGGACACATCAGTTAGCCGTGTTATGGATCCTTTTATGACCAAATGATCATTTGTATTTGAATAATCAGGTTCAGATATTATCAAATCAAGTAACAAAAGAACAAATTATATATATATCATTTCATCATCATGATATTATTCAGCGGACTCCTGTTAGAACTGGATGAGCCACCGGTACCAGTGAAGAGAGTGGAGGAGTGGAGGAGTGAGGGAGAACTTAGGAAGGTTAAAGACCAGTGGAGCTGCTGCATTGTGGATGAGCTGCAGAGGTGGAATGGTGGTAGCAGGAGACCTGCAGGAGAGAGTTACAGTAGTCCAGGAGGGAGACGACAAGATGATTTGATTGATGATTTTCAGATGGTGGGCGGATCCACTGAGAGACGTCAGTCAGACAGGCAGAGATCCGAGTGAGGGAAGGAGAGAATTAGTTGGGTGTCATCAGCATCGCTGTGGTAGGAGAAGCCATGCGAGCGAATGACAGCGCAGAGAGAGTTGGTGTAGAGCGAGAAGTGGAGGGGACCCAGGACGGAACCCTGAGGAACTCCAGTGGTAAGAGGACAAGGTTCCGACACAGATCCTCTCCAGGTTACCCGGTAGGTGCGTCCGTCGAGGTAGGACGAGAGAAGGGAGAGAGCAGAGCCTGAGACACCAAGTTCCTGAAGGGAGGAGACGAGGATCTGCTGGTTGACTGTGTCAAATGCAGCAGAGAGGTCCAGAAGGACGAGGACAGAGGAGAGAGAGGAGCTCTAGCAGTGTGGAGCTGCTCTGAGACAGCAAGGAGAGCAGTCTCTGTGGAACGGCCTTGAAGCCTGACTGGTGGGGGTCAAGGAGGTTGTTACAGTGGAGATAAGAGGAGAGTTGGTTAAAGATCTCACGTTCAAGAGTTTTGGACAAAAAGGGAAGAAGAGAGACGGTCTGTAGTTGTCTGGGTTGAAGGTAGGTTTCTTCAAAGACCATTCAAGAACATTTTTTGAGATACCTTCACCCATAAAAATATCTTGAGTCAGACACCTGTCTTGACGAGGCATCATGGTACTACGACGACTATCTTACTGTTAAGAGTTTTCCAAACTTACCCGAGTCGATAATCTGACCTAGTGGATCATTAACCTCAACTAGTGGATCAATAATCTCACCTATTGGGTAAATAACCTCAACTAGTGGATCAATAATCTCAACTAGTGGATCAATAACCTCAACTAGTGGATCAATAACCTCAACTAGTGGATCAATAATCTCACCTATTGGGTAAATAACCTCAACTAGTGGATCAATAATCTCAACTAGTGGATAAATAACCTCAACTAGTGGATCAATAACCTCACCGGGTTGAGAGGGTCCTGCTGCCCGCGGAGGAGAAGCCATGTCCGGTTTCCGTCGGAGTTCATCGGTAACGGAGCTCCGTAGTCTCTGGTCGCTCATCCGGAGCGGTACCGGGTGAGGAGTCCGGGTGGACCGGATCAACACGTCCCCGGTGTCAGAGGACTCATGAGGACCGGCTTGACCAAACATCCGGGGCTTTTAACGTCTGTTCAACACGCGCGATCTGCTCCAATTTTAGATTTCCCGCTCCCACAACATCCGGGTCCGTTGAAACCAGATTTACGGTTGAAAGAGGCTGGAGTTTCGGCGGGGAAGTAACGTTCAAATATCCCGTTAAAGAATTAGAGAAAGGAAAACGACCAAACGACAAACAGCAACGGTTGCTGACAACAAACAACGCACTTCCGGTTCAGAGAGTTTAAAAAGCCTCCCGACGAGTGTCTCACTCCGCCTCTAAATCCAGACACCAACAACAAGGTGAATAAAACTAGCGTCCCACTTCATTCAACCAACAAAACGAGCCTTCGTGGTGCGTTCATAGTAATCACAAACATGATCGACATTTAAGTAAATGTGCCCCCCAAACATTCTTTAAATGTCTGTTGATTGATTTAACAAACTCGATTTGTTACGCTACACACTCCGCTACAGTAGGTGATACTGAGCACCGGAAGCCGTACTGCCAGTGAAACCACAGAAGAAGAAGCAGCACATCACACGTCCTTGAGCCGCCGAACGAGCTTCACATTTAAGACTCTCGTTGCTCGCAGGTGAGGTTGTAACTCCGGTTTTGGTCGTCTTCTGTTTTCGTTTGGTTAATGATGGAGGAGAAACAGTTGAACTAAACCCCCAAATCACCCGGATGAAGCTAATGCCAGCTTCCGTTAGCCGTTAGCATCTGAACCAGACTCCATTCATTTAAACGTTTATTTTACCGGCACGTCGCTGCATTCAAAATAACGATAGTGTAACTTTATGGATGACGTCACAGATGCGGCTGAGATGAGCGCACGTGTCGCTGCGAGATGTGCTGGTGACTATTCACAGGTTTCCGTTCACTGCCCCACAGACTCCCTTGAACCATGGCGGTCCAGGTGACGGAGTCCGACCAAGTCAAACAGGTGAGCCGGAATAAACCAGTCACATCCGATTATTTCTGGAGATGGTCGTGGTTCTTAAAGGACTGTGGCGTGTGTCTCAGTTTAAGGAGTTCCTGGGGACCTACAACAAGGTGACGGAGAACTGCTTCATGGACTGCGTTAAAGACTTCACCACCAGGGAGGTGAAACCGGAAGAGGTGGGCGGTTCATCTCCTCCTCACTTCCGGTTATCACAGGTTTAGGGACACTCCGGCCCAATTACCCCAGGGACTCACTGACGTCACCCGGTGGTGTTTAAATATGAATGCACAGCTGCCACATGTCACGTTGCCATGACAACGTCCAAAAATATTCACACCTGAGGATTTATTTCACGTTTTTCCTCAAAATAGACTGAATGAGTAAATAGCAGGGCTGTATTAACTAATCACACATTTTGAAATTCATTAATCGCAATTATGTTTTTTTGTGACAATCTTATAAATGAACAAGTACTCACTTTACACAAACTTCACCCATGTGATCGCGTTGAGCTGGCAACGCTTCCTGCTGTCGTTTTAAGTGCCCACATTTAGCCAGAACATTTTCCAACCACTGTCTTTTTGGGGGAATTCCTGCTTGTTTTACCTCCAAAGGAAAAAACTCCCTCCATCTTCAGCTACCGTCTCGCTCTGCATCAAGCGGCGGCTTCAGTGGCCAACGCACACCGGGAAGGAAACAAAGCTGCATTCAAACATTTTATTGCATTAATGACGTGTTCTCCTTGTTGACCCCGTTTTTAACGTGACCTTGCAGACGTTTTGAAGAGTCAGAATTCTGATTGGCTGTTTTGACATGTTTTCAGTCGAGCTGCTCGGAATCGTGTCTGCAGAAGTACCTGAAGATGACTCAGCGGATCTCCATGAGGTTCCAGGAGTACCACATCCAGCAGAACGAGGCCCTGGCTGCCAAGGCCGGACTGCTGCACTGACCTCTAATGTGAAACCAAGCATCATGGATGGACTAATTAAACAATGACTTATGTAGAATCATTATTGAACTGTTTTTCTTCTGGAAATAAAACCGGTTACTGTGTTCAGAACTTGAAGGAACAGTGTGAAACAAAAGAGCTGTTTATTGTACAGTTCCAACACGGCTTCTGTTCTCAGGTCAGTTTTAGTATATTTACATAAAAAAGGAGTTCATTATAGGACAGCCTGCGCTTAAAAATATTAGAAATCATTCTTTACAAGATGTAAAACCATGTCCTCGAACACACGTGTACCCAGAGCTGGTATTTACAAAACAGATCCATGAAGCAGCCGTCTGTCTGAGGCACCACAGAAGAAGAGAGGTGCGTACGGAAGATCAAATATAAAACCAGAACTTAGTTTTCAACCTTCACTAATCAGTGTAGCTCCTCATAACTCAGCTTAAATCATATGTTTACCAAAGGTTACAAGTAAACAACTAAATTATACGTTTATTTCAATCTTCCATTTTAAAAAATGTACTGAATAAATAAGCATATTACCTCAAATGTGACCGAACTGACTTTTTTTTTTAACAAACAAAATCACAGCAGGAAACCTAATTTTGCATAATGAGATTTTCTGCTTTAAGATATCAAACCAGTGACCTCAAACAACCTGTCACTTTACTTTGAAATTCCGAGATAGGGGAGGAGTCTTCCGTGCCGGCTGAACAGACGACTGATCTTTTTGCCTCCTTGGTGAGGGGGCGGGGCCATGTGATAAACTCTCCAGGTCAGAGGGGCGGGTCTAAGTTCATCGTTGGGCGTGTCATCACCTGCACTCCACGGCCACGGTGCTCTGAGTGGGCGATGCAGAGGACGGACTCATGCCAGTGTCCGAGGAGCCGGAGGACGTGGTGTGGGACACTAAGGGACCAAAGAACAATGACTGAAAGGAAACTGTCACATGGCCAATGGACCGCATCTCCCAGCATGCACTGAGGGGCCTACCTTCTCTCTCCTTCTTCTTTAGTCTCTTTCTCCGCCTGTCAATGGAGGCCACCTCCGACTTCAGGGTCATGTAGTACTTCCTGATCTCCTGCAGTTTCTCCTGCAGGAAGGAGATCCTCTCTGTGCTGGACATGTTGTCCAGCTCGTCTGTGTGGGGAGGGGGGGGGGGGGTTAACATGCAGCCAACAGCAGCAAAGTGATAAAAGTAAACGAGGAAGTACCGAGCTGGAAGGTCCACTTATAGGCCCTCTGGGGGGAGAAGGTGTGTTTGTCTTTGCTGTGAGACGAAGGAGACAAAACAAAACGAGACTTCTGGGACAGACGAGGCTGGTCCTCACTGTCACTGCTGTTACCTGGGGGAGAAGGAGACTGTTAATTATACTAAGTTACTGTAAAAACTCAAACAGGAAGTAGGTGTTCTTAGGCGGGTCAGCCTCAGATCACGTGACCATGCAGCAACATCGTCACAGCTCACCTGCTCCGTTCTTCTCCACCTTCCCAGGTGTGCTGAGTCTCTTCTGGTTGCGTTTCTGTTTCTTGGCCATTGGGCTCAAGTTACAGTCCGGCATCCGCTTCTGACCTGAGGGGTCAAAGGTCACACAGGTTACTCTCTACAGACAAGAACCACTCAAAAGAGCCAATAGAACTAGGTGATAACACACACCTCTGTCCTTACTCTCCTGCAGAGACACCACAAAGGTGGAGGAGGCGCTGCCATCAAAGCCGGGGCTGGAGTCTCCCTGAAGCTCTCCTCTCTCCTCCCCACCAGTGCTCCTTGCGGGGTGGAGCTCCTCGGGGCTAGGAGCGGTGCAGGGTGCAGGTTCAGGCAAGAAGGGCATGACTTGAGGTTGGGGGAGGTGGGGGGAGGGCAGAGAGGCGTGGATGATTTTAGGGGGCGGGGCTAGTTGCTGCTCCCTAATCATCAGGAGGAGGTGCTCCGGGGCGGTTGGCTTCTCCTTCTCGTCCGGGTCGTCCAGGTCCACCTCATGGCAGACCAGCGCCTCCGGACCAATCTGCAATTCTACCTCCTCAGCGGGGGAGGAGTCTGGGGCAGGCGTCCCAGGAACCACCTCTGACTCTTTAGAGGCTCCGCCCATCAGCAGCTCTTCTGACCCCTCCTTCGGCGTGTCCTCTAGACGGGGCCAGTCTTCTGCCTTCATCGCTCCCTCGCTTTTTTCTAACTCCGCCCTGTGGAGAGGAGAGGGGAGTCCTTTGGGCGAAGCTCCTAAGGCCATCTTGGAAGGGACTGGGGGAGTTTCGGGACAAGGGGCCTCCAGCTGTCTCCTTTCAGGACGGAGCTTCTTGTCAGTTTCTCGCTGCTCTGCGGCCTTTCGTTTTAATGTGGAGCTGCTCCTCTTCTCAGGAATCTCCTCCTCCTCCTCGGTGGCAGAGTCAGTGTCAGAATCTGCGGTGGGAGACTCGGGGGAGAGGCGCTGGGTGGGAAGGCAGTGGAGAACCACCATGGGCTCGTCCTGTCTCTTCAGGACGCTACAAGGAGGAGACACCTCCTTGTGGGCAGGGCAGGTGCTGAGGAAGATTCTGGGAGGAGTTTCGGAGACTGTCTCCCTGAGGGCCCTGCGACCTTTGACCCTGGGAGAGGACAGAGGAGTGGACCTGCTGTCCTCCTCCTCTGCTGAGACGGGCTGAGGAGAGGACACATTCTCTTCAAGAAACGCCCTGATGGCATCCGGAGGAGACGTGATGGCGTGAGGAGAAGGCCTCTTGTTAAACACCTCCTGTGCAGGAAACAAGTGGTCAGAGTCTTGGACAGACGACATCTCCTCGTCCAGGTGAACCAGCAACATGGCAGCTTCTACTGTTGGCTCCTCCCTTTGTTCCGCCTCCTTCTTTAATTGGCTCAGGAGTTTGTCGGTTTTCTCCTGAGGCATGATGGGGCGCTGCAGTGTCATGGCAACAGGTGTCTGACCAGCTGTTGCCGTGGCGACAGTGTTGTTGTTGGCGGCCGTCTTAACGTCAGCAACCTGACCTGGCTCCTCCTCCTCCCCCCCCTTCCCCTCCTCCTCTTTACAGGACGGGCCTTCGGTCCGCCCTTGCCGTGGCGACGGCTTTTTGTCAGGCGGGCTTTCTGATTCGCTGTCGTCTGAGGAGTTCCCAGAATCCTCTGCAGGGAGACAGAGCAGCAGAGCAGTTCGATATTACGAGACTAATGAAAAGCACGTGAAACCCGAAATACAAGTAGGAGTCTTAAAAAGAGCGAGTGATCTCACCGTTAGACGCTTGATCGGAGTCGTACAAACCCGACGTCCTCCTGGTTCTCCTGCGAGGAGTGTCTGCAGGTAGGGGGACACGTCAAAGACAGTCACACAAAAAAGAAAGCTAGTTGGGCGGAGTCTTACTGTCTCCGTTGGCCATGTTGGAAGGCATCTCCGTACGGCTGCTCCGGCCGTTGGACCGCCCCTCGCTGCTCGGCGTCTTAGAGACGCTGTGTCCCGCTGAGCCACCGGGTGGCGTCCCGGTCTGGGGTCGCCCCCGCTTGGCTCCCGGAGGCTTCAACACTGCTGACGGAGGCTGGTCTTCATCTCTTTCTGTCTCCGGCTCATCTTTGTTCTGTTGGGACAGACAGTGTCAAACAGACCATGATGTAAAAAAAAGGTACCACCCTACGGGTCCTTAGGGTCATACCACCCTACGGGTCCTTAGGGTCATACCACCCTACGGGTCCTTAGGGTCATACCACCCTACGGGTCCTTAGGGTCATACCACCCTACGGGTCCTTAGGGTCATACCACCCTACGGGTCCTTAGGGTCATACCACCCTACGGGTCCTTAGGGTCATACCACCCTACGGGTCCTTAGGGTCATACCACCCTACGGGTCCTTAGGGTCATACCACCCTAAAAGGCTGTTGCTAAACTTCACTTTAGTCATCAGGTAACCACACACAGAAAATTGTCCCGACTGGAGAATAAAAACCGTGTGTAATGACGTCGGCGATATCCTGGTGAGCTAACAGGAAGTGACATCACAGGTTTCACACCTTAACTTTCTTTCTCCGTCTCTTCTGGCGTCCTTTCTCCAGGGGCCAGATGAGGCGGTCGGCTTTCACCCACTCGTCGTACCTGAGGGCAGAAAGTTCACCTTTCATTTCATGTCCAATTGTTGGTGACAAAGCTGTATTTTACTTTCTACCCTTTGGGGTAAATATACTTTGTCTCTAATCCGCTTTGGCTCCCGGCAGGGGGTGTGGTCAGCACAGCTGTAGCCAATCACCATCAACCCCGGTGTAAGAAGGAGAATCCGGCTGGGCAGTACTCCGGTTCAAATGGTATAAAATTTCCGGTAGGAATTTTTCATCGAGCGTCAAGTCGTATCAACAGAATTTATTTTCACACCTCGTCGCTGAGCGCGCAGCGGTCAAATCCACTTGATTTTGGGCTGCAAAAAGATAATTGAATCCTTTCCCTCTGACTCAAAGCCGACAACATGTTTCAGTCTATTGCTCCCGACCTTCCCAGTCCAGCTCCTCTTCACTGGCTACCAGTGTGGCCAACAGGCCAGGATCTGGTCTCACCTTACGGCCCGCATCGATCTGCTTGTTGCTCCCTCACAGAGAAATAAACACTGAGCAACATGCTCGGCCTTTGACTTGAACATGATCACTTTCGGTGTTGCACTATATTATAATCAACCGTGCACTTTTTTGTTAACCTAAAATACTACATCTGTTATATGTGAAACATTCCCATTCCAAATAAAGAATAACACGGTCTTTGTAAGAGGGCACTTGTATTGTCATATTGTAATCCGTGGCAAAAAAATGGTTTGTAAATTACAATATTGTTTATTGCAATTAATTTTGGTGCAATATATCGCACAAAAAAAGCAGTTACCGTGACAACACGTGCCGACTGTTTGACGCCCTGGCTCATAAATGGTGGAATGAGTTAAAGCTACACACACACCTCCACCCACCACGCATGGACGAAGTGTTACTTTCCTGATTCTTGTTGTTTTGCTTCTTTTCACAGGTTGGACGTCGCTTTGGATAAAAGCTTCAGCTAAATGAAAATCATGCAATGAAGACTCGTCATGCAGGTCACATGGTACTTTATCTCAACCACTCGTCTAACGAGTCCCTCCCACATCCCTGTTATGATTGGCTAAGGGGGCGTAGGGGGCCGGCCTTAGACATGCGTGAGGCCCACCTGACGTTCCAGCCGTAGTAGTGGACCAGGTAGAACTGCTCTCCATTGTCCAAGTCAGTCTTCTTGATGTGAGCCTCGTAGATCTTCTGAGTCTTCCCTCTGCCGTATTTCACCCGCACCTTCGTCCCCGTCACAGAGTCGCCCTCCTCCTCCTCCTCCTCCTCACAGCTGACACACATATAGGGTCTATATAAGCCAACATCTCAGATCATTTCAAGACGTCTCGTTCATTCACTAAGAAGCTGAAATATTTCAGTCTCACCCTTCTCTCGCCATCCCTCTTTCATCGTCGTCGTCATCCTCATCCTCGTCCTCGTCGTCATCATCATCATCATCATCGTCGTCCTCCACATCATCATCATCGCCCTCCCCCTCCTCCTCTTCCTCAGACCCCTTGTCGGAGTCGTCCATTCGTCTGTTGCTGCGTCTCCTCACCTCCCTCTGCTCCTCACTGTTATCTTCTCCTCCTTTGTCTGGTGTGGAGGGAGAACCGCTCTCTGCAGTCAGCTGACTGCTAACACACCTCCTCCTCCCCTACAACAGAGAAGGGGGAAGAGACAGAATGAGAGGGACATTCAGTCTCATTAAATTGTCACCAGTGATCACGTGACCTCAAGTAAAGGTGGCGTCTCACCCTCGGAGACGACTGTCTGTCCTTCACGTCCTCGCTCTCACTCTCTGCCTCCTCCAACGCGTCTTTGACAGGGTCCACGTTCTCTGGCAGGGCGGGTGGGCGGCTAAGCTCCGCCCCTGCCTGCTTCTGGTTGGCCAGTGTGGTGGGAGGGCGGGGGTTGTTGTGATGGATGGTTCTGAAGGTGATGGTGGCAGAGCGGCAGTACTCCTCAAAGCCGTACAGATACCTGAGGACCCACCAGACCGTAAAGTAAAGCAGGGGCTCCTGGGGAGGAGCAGGAGGAACCAGGGGGAGGAAAGAACGAGGATGAGGGAGTATCTTACTTCTTGTAGGCAGTCTTGACGTTGTAGGAGGCAGCAGAGTTCAGGACGGGGATCCCCAGATCCACGTAGACCTGCTTCCACACGGTACCAGACTCTATCTGCAACAAACAACAGCAAGTGACATCACAAGAACCCAGCAGCAGCATCACCAGGTCACATGACCCAGGAGAGACAGTAGTCACCTTGTGGCAGCCTCCCAGCCGATAGACCAGTCTGAAAAGCTTGAAGAGGTTCAGGTCTTTATAACCCAACACGGGAGGCTTGTTGATGGGGGTCCCTGCAGGCAGAACGCTTATTAGAACAGACCTTCTGATGATTAACCACACAACCAGAACCTTCTGCTGGTCTCACCTCGGTCCTCCATGAACTTATAGAGCTGCTGCAGGAAGCGGTCTCTCTCCTCTGGATCGGGCTCCTCCTCCTCCGGCTGCACAGACCGAGGAAGACGGGTCAACGTCTGATCTAGAGATCAACAGACAGGTCAACTTGTGAGCTCTCACCTCCTCCTTTATGCGTTTCTTCTTCTTCGTCTCCTCTTCGTCCTCCTCCTCACTCTCCTTCTCTTCATCGTCGCTGGAGGAGGAGTCCAGAATCTGACTCATGTCCATTTTCCACATGTCAGGGACTTCACCTGTCCTCAGGAACATCTGGGCCGCCTCAAACCCTTTAAGAGGAGCAAGGAGGAACAATAGAAAGCGTTGGGAAAATGGAGAACAATAGTGTTGCTGTGCCTACTGCATTGTGGGAGGTGTAGTTCCTCACCTTTCCTGCTGGAGAACTCCGACCTGGTGGAGATGAAGGTGTGGACGTGTCTCCTCGCCACCGTGTAGCTGCAGTAAGAGAGACAGGAGGTGAGACAGGTGGGAGGAAGTCCCAGCTAGTAGGTCTGTGATCACAGATCAATGAGGGACTCACAATTTGGAGTCACTGAAGGCTCTGACCAGACACTGGTCCTTCTTCACCTGCAGCTCCTCGTTACAGCTGGGAGACACCACCTGAGGAGAAGGGACAAAGGGCCATGTGACCCAGGGGCCTGATGTGCAAAGACTCGCGTGGATTTCTTACTGAAACACGTCCGTACGATGAAACCCAAACGCCTCCAACGCACAAAAACATCGGATGTATCAATGTGTGTGAACGCATGAATCCAAGCACATTTCCTTCGTACGCCACAACCAACGTGGAACGCATGCCGGAGTCCCCGACTCCTCCCTGTCCACGCCCCTGTGATTCCCCATGACCAGAAAAGACGGTAAAAAGGAGTAAGATGGTAAATTAAAAAAAACTTCACCGAAAGCGAGATGGAAGTGCTACTTTCCGAAGTGGAGGCACGCAAACATGTGCTCTTTAGCACGCTATCATCAGGAATAAGCAGCAAACGTAAGAGGAGCGGGCGCCTCCTCGCTGTGCTGCGCTCTGCACGTAGTTGGAGGAGGAGGAACCCAAAGCAGCTGATGAGCCAGTTGTCCTCATGTGCAAGCAAATCCTGTTTCTAAACATGCGCTCTCTCCTTATTGCACCATTTGCATAGAAGTGTCGTCTAGTAGTTCTAAAGCAGCCATTGTTTTAACAGTGTGCATTGCACCACTTCATGCATGCGTTTATATCCACTCATGTAATTGCAGACACGTGTTAATTGTTCATGTGTCTCAGATGTGCACATTCTCAGTCTGGGGACAAATTGTGTTCACATTTATTTATTATTAGTTTCCCAACATCACCTGTAGGGCTGCAATGAATATTCTATATTCACATAGTTGTTAAAAACAACTGAAAATTAAAACTTGAATGCGTGACTGTCTGCTTAGCGAGCGGGCGCCTGACTGTACTGACTGTACATCGCATGAATAAAATAGACCAGATCGGCTACAACAGCTTCATGCACTGGTTTGATTATTTGCCGTTTCACGCCGAGGAAACGTTGCGTGTTCACAGCTCAGCTCGCTCGGCGCGGTCCATGTCGGTGCTGGAAAACTTTCACTGGATGAAGCCTGACGTAAAGCGAATATTCAAACGTCCTTTTTGAGCACTTGCGAGCCCTGTTCACCTGTAAGAATCAACAGCTGTAGAAACGGGCGCACGACAGCCCTGAAGTCGGCGCGAGGCGCCGCACATTTCCACGGCCATTTTGCTCGTCATGCATCTGATCGTTGACGTGAAAAAGTGCGTTTGCCACTTTTTTGGTCACTAACTCAGGAGGAAGTTAAAGGTGTGTGATGAGCAGCCTCGTCTCCATGGTAACAGGGCTCAGAGAGGACGTGTGTGCGTTTACCAGAGCCAGGTACCAGCTACTCGACTCCTCTTCGCTCTCAACGCTGCAGATTTTCCCCAGAAGTTCATCGTTGAGTCGTCTTCTGTCGTCGTCCTCGTCGTCACTGGAGGAGGACTCATTCTCCTCCTCAGCCCTGAGACACAGGCCGACAGAAACAAGGAGAGACAGACTAATAGTCAGTCCTCCAGTAAACAGAAGGCGGTTATGTGTCCTGTCGTGGTAATGCGTCTGTACTCACACAGCCTGAGACGAGCGACGTCCTCCTCGGTTTGACTTCTTGCCGATGACCGGAGTACCAAAATGTTCTGGGTTAGTGAGAGGCAGCTGGTCCAAAGTCTGAGGGGAGGACAGAGGATGAGACTTCTGCCTGCGTTTGTCAGTCCGTCTGTCTGTCTGTCTTCCTTACCTCACTCTCTGCAAAGTGTCTCTCTCCCTTCAGACACAGGGACGTCCTCCGAAGAGTCTTCTCGTCTCCGTCATCGAACACTGAAAAACAAACAAGCAGGATGTTTTCCTTCATGTCTGGAAGCTTAAACAAACATTATTCCTCCTGACTGAGAGCAATGAGGCTCCATCACCAGAAGGTCATGTGACGCAGCGCCTTGCGTCCAAATTCATCACGTCTTTGTGCTCCTTTTCTTTTCTAAACTCACTTATTTTATTGAATTCAACAACATTATGAAATGCATTTTCAGACAGTTCGCTGTCCTTCTTTCAGCGATATCCAGGTGCTGTGAGTGTCGTGCATGATGTGTGTGCCACATGCTGTGACGACCTCATGGTTTGGTAAAGACAGGCCGTACTGAATAAGTTATCTGCTCCATACGTTTTGGATGCATGTGCAGGGGGATCCGGGTAGGGCGGCCGCGATATCTCATTTATGTTGTGCAATTACGTTTATTGCGATATTATTGCAACTTTCAGACCATTTTATGCCACTGATAAAATAATAACAATATAATGGTATAGTAATAAAAAGACGCTATTTCAAAGAACAAAGAACGTTTGTCAGAATAGTTAGAATTAGAATCGGAATGTGAAAAAATCTGTCCTATATAAGCAAATCTATCCTATATAAGCAAATCTATCCTATATAAGCAAATCCATCCTATATAGGCATCGGCTCGGTGCGATGCGGTCGGGTTCGTGGAAACGTGTCCAGCGCGCCGCGGCAGCCGGGAGGTTTAACGGGGATTCGACCGCCGGCAGGGCGACGCGCTCCGCGGCTGCAGGGAGAGACGGAGCGGCCCGGTGCGAACGCAGGACGCCCGCCCAAAGAGGCAGTAGTTCAGGTTAAAGACGGGCGGATGGTTGGCACTTAGTTTAGGGCAAAGCCAGAATACGTGTGTGTGATTGGCAGCATGTGTTCCACACTTCCGCCAGCACAAGTTGGAATGTGTTGGGCCCATTTTGGCAAATATTTCTGGACGCCTGAAGAATTACTTTCCATTTAAGGTATCGGAAGAAATCTGTTTCAGGGAGATTGAAATCCTTTTTCAGCTGCTCAAATGTCTTGATGTTGTCCGCATTAAATCGCTGGTGGAGGTCAGTCAGTCCCATATCGGACCACTTTCTAAAGCCGGTCTTCATCAATGCTCGTTAATAATGAAATTAACTTTGGAAACCCCAAAGCTGCCTGTATTTTGCTGCAGGCAATGACTATCTCAATATTCTTAATCAGCGCTACCAAAGGTTTCATTTGTGCAGCCCAGAAGTAGCACTTTAATGTGCCCCCTTTAGTGTACCAGGAGGCACAGAACTCAATCAGAGACTCACCCACAGTGTAGAGGCTGGCATCCGTCAGCTTACTGATGACGGCCTCGCTCGACAAACCCTCGTTAGTCTTCACCTCCACCGTGGAGCCCACCTGAAGGACGGGGACACACGTGCAAATGAAGGGCTTGTTGCATGCATGTATGTATATTTCTTTCTTTCTCCACGCACGGCAGTTGCACACTGACATGGAGATGTCCGTCCGGCGCTCGCAGCAGCGGGGCAGAGAGCACCAGAGAGACTATTCACCTTGAAGCATCTTTGCTGAGACAGTTACTAAAGCAGCTCCCATTAAGGACTCTTGGCTGCTCAGTAAGAACCCTTCATGAGCTAATGAACCCTTGGACCTCAGACGCTCAGCATCACCTCACCCTCAGAGCTCCTTTCACCTGGTCATCCTGGACCACCTGAGTCGTACTTTCGCCTTTCAGGTTCACCTGAAGAGAGAGAGACACACAGACATGAAAACATGTGACCGCCCCCCATTGCTGTTCTTGCTCACAGCAGTGACCTGGTTCTGGAGGGTCTCACCTTCACTTTCACCATGCGCTTCACCGTCTTGATCTTGGCCTCACAGAAGGCTCCTCTGTATTTGGCACTGACGTCCGTCCCCACGGTCAGGTAGGGGGGCTCGTCTGCTGCCTGAAACACACCTCAGTGACATCACAACACTCCCAGAGTGCACTGCAGCAGACAGCAGCTTAGCTAAGCCAAACATAGTCGATAGTTCAGCTAGTCTTGTGTGATGATGGGAGAGGTTTAGTCTGAGCCGCACCAGGATTCAGATTATTTTACGTTTTAGACTTTAACATTCAAAATAGTTTCTGGCTCCCAAACAGGGTCCTGGCTTCAATGTTGCTGCACATCTCCATGTCCAGACCTCAACCCAAAATCTGACCTCCACCATACAACAGGTTCCAAGAGCGGCGGCCATCTTTGTGTGTGTTTCAGAGACAAGCCAAAAGGTTCAGCAGAGAAACATTATAATTAAAGTTCTCTTTACAGGAGACCAAAATCTACATCTCCTGTCTTATTACTGCTGCTTGAGCAGTCGTATCTGGACTGGAACCGGTTGAGAGAGACCGGGTCCACTTTAAGGCTCGACACGCCGGTCAAATACTCACCTTCATCTTCACGTCAATTTGAGGAGGTCCAGCTCGGAAGATAGTGGAACACTGGAAGGGACACAGGACGTTAACATGATGCTAAGCTAACCAGAGAACAGACCGTTGACACAGCTAAGCTAGCCACACAGGGTGTCGTACTGTTTATATAATGCTAACCTAACCAGCTAGATGCCCGCCACTAACTTTGGTTGCTGCGGCTGAACGCGGTGTCGCCGGTTTCACTAACGGACCCGCGGGGGAACCGGACGTGTGTTCCCGCTCCTCTCAGCTCCACTGAGTCACGTCGCCATCACGCTCGGCTAGCTCTGCTAACTTTACCCCCCCACCCCAAACACACGGAACGGCTGCTAGCTACCAGCAGGGGGGGGGGGGTAAATCCAAGACCGATTCCCGGTACCGACGTGCGTGTAAGCGGAGCTTCGTGAAGCTAGCAGCGGTTAGCTAACTATCGTTAGCTAGTTTTGGGATCGCAAGGAGATTTAAACCGTCCGGTGGCTCCACGGTGGACTCGGCAAGCAGCGACATTAGCTTCCGTTTACGGGCTAAAAGAAGTTCCTATCGGACCGAACCGGACCTTGTTAAACCGGACAGAACAACAACTGTTGTGTATTAAATTATTTAATACGTGAAGCTCCACAAAGAAGCTCCACATTTCTTCAATCAATTCAACCACTGCTCGACGTCCACGCGGGGTCCTGTCTCTTGTCCACCGGTGATTGGACCCGGTGGTGGGTTCGACCCGGTAGGGTTCGGTTAGCAGAAGAAGGGCTTCATACTCACGTATTCGGCCGCCGCAGCTCGGGTCGCAAAGCGATACACGAACAACAAGCTGTTGAGTCCGAGTTCTGTTTCCCGACCCGTGATTGGCTGCGCTGACAGTGGCGTTCGCAGGAGACAAATCCGATTGGTCAGGTGATCCCTCGAATCTAATACGACGTGCCTCCGCTAGGGTCGCCATTAGTGGATGCGAACGAGGCGCCACAAGGGAAATGACGGCATCAGTCGGGTAACTATCCAATCAGAGGTAAGTTAAAGCGAAGGACCGGCCAATGGGGGTTACAATCGGCTGAGCGCGGAAACGACCCGTCATCATTGGCTGAGCGGAAGTTCGTGTCGCTACGTACACAGCAGGAAGCCCCGCCCCTACGGGCTGAACGTCTTCACACCAAACTAAATTCACAAACCTTCACAGCTGACAGAAGCTCGTACGTCAACGCGGTTACGTGCGTGGTAGAAATAGAAAAAAATATATATATATAACATATATATATATATGTATGGCTAGATCACTTACAGCGAAATATAGAACGTCCGCACATGGCGGCCATATTAGTACGGTCAACTAACCACCCATAATCAGGAATCAGGAAACATTTATTGCCATAATATGTGACATACAAGGAATTTGACTTGGCGGTTGGTGCGTAACAGCAGACAGTACGACAATGGACGACAAGACAACAGGCTATGGGTTAGTTACATTTACATTACATGTCATTTAGCTGACGCTTTTATCCAAATAACAAACTCAGAAGAACAAGAAAGTGCAATTTCATTAAATAAGCCAATTTACAACTTGCTGTAGATAAGAACCATTATAAGTCCAATGTAAGTGCTACAGTTAGTGTGTTAGTGGAGGTAGAGTCTGAAGATGTGTGTCTTTAGTCTCTGCTCTCTGTGGTCCTGATGTCTTCAGAGACCTCCTTCCACCATTTAGGAGCAGGACAGCAAAGAGTGGAGATCTAGTCGAGTGTTTTGCTCTCAGTGAGGAGGAACAAGCAGTTTATCACATGCAGAGCGGAGAGTGCGGGTCGGGATGTCGGGTTGGACCAGGTCCTGGATGGAAGCTGGACCCCATCCATTCACAGCCTGGTACGTGAGCACCATGTTTAGAACTGGATGAGCCACCGGTACCAGTGGAGAGAGCGGAGGAGTGGAGGAGTGAGGGAGAAGTTTAAAATAAAGGAATACAAGTTAAAGTTTAAAATATAAAAAAAAAAAAGTGCACCAGCGAACAGAAAGTGACAGTAAAGTGATGTGTGGAATGTCAAGAGTCAGTCAGTGAGGGTCCGGCTCTGTTGATGAGGTCTTAGTCCTGATGGACCTCAGCCTCCTGCCAGATGGAAGGGGCACAAACAGGTTTTGTCCGGGGTGAGAGGGGTCGGCCACCATCTTTTTAGCTGCTTCAGAGACCTGGAAGCGAACAAGTCCTGCAGGGACGGCAGATTGCAGCCGATCACCCTCTCTGCAGAGCGGAGGACACGCTGCAGCCTGCCCTTGTCCTTGGCTGTGGCTGCAGCATACCAGACGCTGATGGAGGAGCAGAGGACGGACTCCATGATGGCCGTGTAGAAATGGACCATCATCGTCTTTGGCAGGTTGAGTTTCTTCAGCTGCCTCAGGAAGAACAACCTCTGCTGAGCCTTCTTGGTGATGGAGCTGATGTTCAGCTCCCACTTGAGGTCCTGGGTGATGATGGAGCCCAGGAAACGGAAGGAATCCACAATAGTGACGGGGGAGTCACACAGGGTGATGGGGGAGGGTGTGGCTCTGTTCCTCTGGAAATCCACAACCATCTCCACTGTCTTTAGAGCGTTGAGCTCCAGGTTGTTCTGGCTGCACCACGACACCAGATGGTCAGACTCCACCTGTAGGCGGACTCGTCCCCACCAGAGATCAGTCCAATGAGGGTGGTGTCATCCGCAAACTTCAGGAGCTTGACGGACTGGTGACTGGAGGTGCAGCTGTTGGTGTACAGGGAGAAGAGCAGAGGGGAAAGAACGCAGCCTTGGGGGGAACCGGTGCTGATGGTCCGAGAGGCTGAGACATGTTTCCCCAGCTTCACGTGCTGCTTCCTGTCAGACAGGAAGTCTGTGATCCACTTGCAGGTGGAGTCGGGCGGTGCAGCTGGGAGAGTTTGTCCTGCAGCAGAGACGGGATGATGGTGTTGAAGGCAGAGCTGAAGTCCACAAACAGGATCCTGGCGTAGGTTCCTGGGGAGTCCAGAAGCTGGAGGATGTAGTGGAGGGCCATGTTGACAGCATCGTCCACAGACCTGTGTGCTCTGTAGGCGAACTGCAGGGGGTCCAGGAGGGGGGGTGAGGGACTTCAGGTGGGTCAGGACTAGCCGCTCAAAAGACTTCCGTTAAAAATGGAGCAAGTTGGCCTTTATGTAACCGTACGAGTGACGGCAAAGCGGGATGTCCTATGTCACCATGTCTTGTGTGTGGAGGCGGGGAGGGAGGGGGGGTATTTCTACACAACAAACTAATCAAACTGTTAGCAAGATGGTCAATGATCAGTAATGATGCTTGCATGCAGGAATGATTTGTGGTTACTGTATTTAGAGCATGTTAAAACTGATTTGCTTTTCTTTGTAGCACAGACTTCAATTTATCCAGCAGTGTGTGGCATTAAGACGGACATCAATAAAGTACAATGTGATAAAGAAACTTTTTTTTATTCTCAAAGTTGAATATCATAAAAATCATGGTGGTTGAACTATGCATAACAATAACAATGTGTGGAAGAATTTCAACTAGGTCTTCATTTGACTCCTCCTCCTGCGAATTGATCTGAAAACAAACAAACATCAGGTGAAGAGTGTGTAGTGTTGCTGACCTTCAATCAGAGAGATGTAAGAGCAGGGGGGGGGTGTGTGAGAGAAAAAGAGTTCAGCTCAGGGATTGGTCAGACAGCCAAGAGGAAGTGACATCACAGGAGTTCAGCCTAATATGCGAAACCTATCTGACTCTCATCATCCGTCCCTGCCGATATCAGGTCTACTCGACTCGATGTCTTTATGGTTAAATCAGTAAAAGGTGTAGAATTGATTGTTGTAGTAGAGCGCAGTCGCCCGAGGAATTGCGCAGTCGCCGGAGGAATTGCGCAGTCGCTCGAAGAATTGCGCAGCCGCCCGAGGAATTGCGCAGCCCTAGCACATGTCTCACCTTTGCATTCTCCTCAGTTCATCCTCTCAGCGCTTCAGGAATCAGCTGATGTCCCTTTGTAAACAATAAGAAAAGGAAAATGTCAATCACAGAGACAGACATGTTTGTGTGAGAGGAAAATAGTTCAGCTCAGGGATTGGTCAGACAGCCAAGAGGAGTTGACATCACAGGAGTTCAGCCTAATATGCGAAACCTATCTGACTCTCATCATCCGTCCCTGCCGATATCAGGTCTACTCGACTCGATGTCTTTGTGGTTAAATCAGTAAAAGGTGTAGAATTGATTGATGTAGTAGAGCGCAGTCGCCCGAGGAATTGCGCAGCCGCCCGAGGAATTGCGCAGCCGCCCGAGGAATTGCGCAGCCGCCCGAGGAATTGCGCAGCCGCCCGAGGAATTGCGCAGCCCTAGCGCATGTCTCACCTTTGCATTCTCCTCAGTTCATCCTCTCAGCGCTTCAGGAATCAGCTGATGTCCCTTTGTAAACAATAAGAAAAGGAAAATGTCAATCACAGAGACAGACATGTTTGTGTGAGAGAAAAAGTTCAACTCAGGGATTGGTCAGACAGCCAAGAGAAAGTGACATCACAGGAGTTCAGCCAAATATGCGAAACCTATCTGACTCTCATCATCCGTCCCTGCCGATATCAAGTCTGCGATGTCTTTATGGTTAAATCAGTAAAAGGTGTAGAATTGATTGATGTAGTAGAGCGCAGTCGCCCGAGGAATTTGCGCAGTCGCCGGAGGAATTGCGCACCCCTAGCGCATGTCTCACCTTTGCATTCTCCTCAGTTCATCCTCTCAGCGCTTCAGGAATCAGCTGATGTCCCTTTGTAAACAATAAGAAAAGGAAAATGTCAATCACAGAGACAGACATGTTTGTGTGAGAGAAAAAGTTCAGCTCAGGGATTGGTCAGACAGCCAAGAGGAAGTGACATCACAGGAGTTCAGCCAAATATGCGAAACCTATCTGACTCTCATCATCCGTCCCTGCCGATATCAGGTCTCGTCGACTCGATGTCTTTGTGATTAAATCAGTAAAAGGTGTAGAATTGATTGATGTAGTAGAGCAGAGCCGCCCGAGGAATTGCGCAGCCGCCCGAGGAATTGCGCAGTCGCCCGAGGAATTGCGCAGTCGCCCGAGGAATTGCGCAGCCCTAGCGCATGTCTCACCTTTGCATGCTCCTCAGTTCATCCTCTCAGCGCTTCAGGAATCAGCTGATGTCCCTTTGTAAACAATAAGAAAAGGAAAATTACAATCACAGAGACAGACATGTTTGTGTGAGAGGAAAATAGTTCAGCTCAGGGATTGGTCAGACAGCCAAGAGGAAGTGACATCACAGGAATTCAGCCTAATATGCGAAACCTATCTGACTCTCATCATCCGTCCCTGCAGATATCAAGTCTACTCGACTCAATGTCTTTGTGGTTAAATCAGTAAAAGGTGTAGAATTGATTGATGTAGTAGAGCGCAGTCGCCGGAGGAATTGCGCAGTCGCCGGAGGAATTGCGCAGTCTCCGGAGGAATTGCGCAGTCGCCGGAGGAATTGCGCAGTCGCCCGAGGAATTGCGCAGTCGCCCGAGGAATTGCGCAGTCGCCCGAGGAATTGCGCAGTCGCCCGAGGAATTGCGCAGCCCTAGCGCATGTCTCACCTTTGCATTCTCCTCAGTTCATCCTCTCAGCGCTTCAGGAATCAGCTGATGTCCCTTTGTAAACAATAAGAAAAGGAAAATGTCAATCACAGAGACAGACATGTTTGTGTGAGAGGAAAATAGTTCAGCTCAGGGATTGGTCAGACAGCCAAGAGGAAGTGACATCACAGGAATTCAGCCTAATATGCGAAACCTATCTGACTCTCATCATGTATGTAGTAGAGCGCAGTCGCCTGAGGTGTAGATGTACAGTTGAGGACCATCTTTGTCACACGATCCCATGATTAAACTGTAGAGACAACATTGTTCCTTGGGGTTTGTCCCTGAACGCACCACGCTCAGTTGGAGACTCACCTGCAGCCGGCGCTGTAGAGTGTAGGCGTTGACTTACATGCCACCGCCTGGGAGATACAGGGGGGGCGGAGGAGACAGACAGGTGGGGGCAGAGGCAGAGTGGAAAAGACATGAGGTGGGGTGGCAGAGAGATGGACATGGGAGCGGGGGTTGAAACGACTGCCCTCAGCTTCGCTCTCCGACCCACTGGGCATCTCACATGTCAGTCTACTTATACACTTTATGCTCTAGGGTTCCTGCAGTAACCCATCTTTAGAGTCACTGCAAATTGTGGGTAATTCACTCCTAGCGTTTCATGCCGGATGCCGTCAACTGGGACAAACAGAACAAAGCACCCAGATCCTCTGCAAAGTATCTTGGGACATAACAGGAGGAACATACCACAATGCAGTGCAGTACAATAAGTACCTCTCAGATGTCTCTCAGAGAGGTACTTCGATACAGAGCTGTGTACTACGGTAGAGGTACTTGTACTCCGGTGATGCAGTTAACTGACGACAGAAACAAAGTTAGTCGATTTCTTTATTTTTAAAACAAAAACCAACATGAAGGTTTAACTGCAACACTTAAACAATGGGATGAAGAGTTACATGTTGTCTTCATCAGAGTCATCCTCTTCCTCCAGAGAGTCCTAGAACACAACGACAACAACATCAGCGGACTGAGGTGGGCAGTGTGTGGAGTAGTTAAACCTGGACTCCACCTCACAGCACTTTTACACCACATGTCAACAACCATTCATGCTCAGCAGCAGAGCCTGGGATCAAGGAAGGAACACCAGGCTCTACATTCACGCACAGTAGCACAATAGTGTCATTTAAGGGGCCTCACCTTTGCGTACTTCTCAGCCTCTTGTCTCACCTCTTCAGGAATTAGCTGATGTCGTCCATTTGTCACTGAGAAAAACAAACACAGTCAGAGAGACAGACGGGTGAATGTGTGCGAGAGAGACAGGAGTTCAGCCCGGGGATTGGTCCAACAGCCAAGAGGAAGTGACATCACAGGAGTTTAGCCTGAAGGCTGCCGCGTGAGTCTGCGTCTTTACGCGCAATCGTGTTGCAGAGCAATTCACCTCCAGAACAACAGGTGGAGTAACGCCTTCCCCTCGTTGGTGGAGATCTCCCTCCATGAATCAGAGGCCATCCGGCCTCTGATTCCGCCAATGACGGCTTGTACAAGCGCTCATATTTACGCATTTCTTCCCTCAAAAGCTCTTCAATCTGATCCGTTCTCTCGTAAACATTCTTCCTTTTAATAACGGCCGTATTGTGCTGTGAAAACGGAGACGTGAGACTCCGTAAAGGACGTAGTTAGTAGGGCTGTCAACGAATATTCTATTCTTCATGTAAACCGCTTTGCGCAGAGAGCGCGGCGGTGAGAGATCGGTGGTTGTGGCAGGTTTTTTTGTGCAGGTAATATGTTGTTAAATAGGTTTAAACTTCAATAAATTACTTATACAAGTAGTTATGTCTCGTATTAATTTGTCATGTTATTGAGGCGCCTAATGCGCAACCAGATATTGGAATAGCAGACCAATCGCAGCCTTGCGGGCTGCAAGAGGCTGCGTAGCTTTTGACACTAGTCTAGAAAATTGCGTGTCCTTGCGTCTCTCCGAAAACGCAGAAGCATAAACTCGGCTTAACAAGCAACAGTGAGCAGAGAACTCAGTACAAGTATTTATTGATTTCTGTGGAGGTGTACAGGAAGTGGCCACAGCAGAGCCGTGATTGGTTGACAGTACCTTCTCCGACCCAGCTGAGCTCCAGTTCGAAGGCTTTGTCCTTCACCTCGTCATGGACGATGTAGATTCTGAGACCAGAGGTACAGGATTACAGAGACGCCTGAAGGCAGCATTGCTCCTGAGGTCATGAGTACATCTGTAGCCTCTAACTGAGGGACAAAGACTGCAGTACAAGCACTCAACATTCAATCCCTTGTAACGGAAAACTATTTTGACATCCGACTTTCAGTATTAGTACATTGAATAACTGTAGTTAGTATAGTTAACTAGGGCTGCACCAACAAATCGATGAAATCAATAAATTGATTGTTAAAAGTTTGTTGAGTCGCGCGTGATTATTACGTCACTCAATGAGTTGTGGAGATGCGCGCCGAGCCGACGTAGAGGAAAGAGCAGCCAGCAGCGCCGGCAGTTGACGCAGGCAGAGACGTCCGTTTTTTTTAAATCGGATTAATAGAAGAAATAATCAACCGATTAATCGATTATCAAAATAATCGTTAGTTGCAGCCCTATAATTAACAGAACTATATACTGTTTTTAGGACATTACATGGTTTATGGAATGCATATGACCCCAATGTGAGCGAAAAGTATCTTTTATTAGTCCCTATGATGACATTCTCTGTATTTAAAGCCCCCCCCAATAGTTCTAAACCCTGAAAGTTAAGTTTGAATGTTGACTCACATTTTGGCGACCTCTTTGACGAGCTCTCTGCAGGTCATCTCCTTCATCTGAGACGCAACAGAAGAATATCAATGTTATTGATATCAAAACAGCCTGATATGATCCATTCAAACTGTTGAAACTCACCTGCAGTTTTTCAATCTCTGTCTTTGCAGCTTGCTTTGCTTTTCCAATGGCACAACCCCAGTAACCCTGAAGAACCAGATACAGACCACTTACTGGACCAGATACCAGACCAACAGATTTACTTTAAGACAATCACAGAGAGACAGACCGGTGTGCACGCGTTTGTGAGAGAGAGAGTTCAGCTCAGGGATTGGTCAGACAGCCAAGAGGAAGTGACATCACAGCAAGTTCGGCCTAATTTCCTAAATCTGACTCATCATCCGTCCCTGCTGATATCAAGTCTGCTCAACTGGATGAAATCAATGGAAGTATTAATGTATGTGTGTGCGAGCAGACTGACTTACATGCGAGATCCCTGATGGGTCGACCATGTAGAGCTGAGGACCATCATCTTTGTCATACGATCCCAGGATGAAACTGGGGTGACAACATAATCACTTCCTGTCAGCAGCTGCTCTTTAGTGTTAACAGGTTTCCTACGGTTGGTCCCTGAACGCACCGCGCTCAGTCAGAAACTCACCTGCAGCCGAACGGCCGGACGGCGCTGTAGAGCGTGTAGGCGTGGACGTACATGGCCACTCTGTCCGACAAGTGCTGCAACAATAGGAAACACTGTTAGCTTAGCATCACTCCCTGCAGACGGTCCTCACAACCACAGACAAACCTTTAGAGGGATGTCGTGTCCATAACTGGATCTGAAGCTGGACGCTTCGTCTCTCGCTACTTCAGACAAGGAACGAGCATCAGCCAACAGACCTGCCACCGCCTGGGAGACACAGGGGGGTTAGAGAAGAGAGACAGACAGGGGTGGAGATGAAGAGGTCCAAAAGAAACTGGAAGCCATATGTCTCAAGTGTGCGTTTGTGTGGTTACCATGCCGACGTGTCTGTCAATGTTGAAGATACGTTTGTTGGATCCCTGCTCGTACAGTTTGGACAGAACGAGCTTCTCCACCCCGAACACAACTCCGTCTTTACAGCGAATAGCTATTGCCGTGCTACACACACACACACACACACAGTCTCAGTGTTCAGACGTTGAAGTAACACCACCTTTTTCTGGGCTTCTCTCACCTGCTGTTCTCCACAGCCTTCATGGCGTACTCCACCTGGAACACGCGCCCATCTGGAGAGAAGGTGGAGGCCGACAGGTCGTACTGCAGGACACAGACAGGTGGAGAACGATTAGTTGGCGTTGATTATGAAAAATCGCCGATGCAGATTTTGTTATATTAGAAAAAGATTCAGAGCTACCAGTCCTTTTCATTCAGCATTGCAATACACTACAGGAAGTGCTGGGGGCGCTATCACTTCTATTGTCTACATGCATCAAGGAAAGGATTTTCTTTTGTTTTAAATCATGGAGGAACGGAGCGTTGGAGAGGCGAAAAAAGCAAAAGAGACTTTCAACAGTCTGGGAAAATGTCATCAGCAAACCCAACAAAAAAGTAAATGCCGCATCTGCAAAACCGGGTTATCATTCCACGACTATTAACTATTAAAACGAAAACATCCCGGAGCCACCGCATCTTCTCCTGATGGGAAAAAGTTATTTTGTTTTCGGGCCCAAAATTATTTATGTCAACAGCCCTAATTAATTGTGTCATCAGGCCTCTCAACCAATGAGAGCAATTGTGGGCGGTCCCAAGACTGCTGCAGCTCGGCAGAAATATGCAGAAAAGTAGCAAACTCGCGTAGATATTTTCATTTTAAACCTCAAAAGAAAAGTTAGTGATGACCATTGATCCACAGAAAGACTTGTTAAGACTTTCAGTTTCTCCCTCATAAAAGATTCGGATTCTTATTTTGGTACTTTTTCAGAAACCACTAGCTTGGAGGGTTCCTGTTTTAAATGTAACGATAACTTGTTTTTCACCACCCAGTGACAAATTCCTTGTATGTCCAACATAATTGTCAATAAATAGGTACCGCTTTAACAATTAATTTAACGGTGTTGAGGAGCAAACATATTTCGGCGGAACCGGTCGATAAAGAGTAACCGCCGACACGCGGGGCTTCTTGAATCAGTTTTCTGAAGGGAGTTCGGCGTGTACTGCTAGCTGTTAGCATCAAATTATCATCGGTGATTGCACCCGTGTAACTTTTTCCTAAAACGTTCCACAATGCAATGTCCCCACAGCGAGATACTTATGAATTGATAGTTTTAAAAACACCCAAGAACAGAAGATACATTTTTTTAAACTTCCAACTCTACTTTTAATTTCTCTTTAGCGTTAGCTGCGACCAGCAGGCCTCGTCGTGACTCAGCAGGCTAACATGCTAGCTGACCAGTAGCTGGAGCTAGCTGGCTAAATAAAGGGCGGGATATCTCCAGTCAATTGGATCAAAGTGTGACTCCGAACCAGAGAATCGGGTTAGAACACAGATCCACTCACCCCGGTACCAATGGAGCTCATCTTAACGCAACGCGAAGGTCCCGTGTTCCGTTTTCAACCCGTTGCGCATGCGCTTCATTTCACTATGACGTTTAAACGAGGACATCCGACCACAACCTTCACAATAAAAGCCTGTGACGCAGATGAGTTTGGTTCCGGGTCATTATTGACCCTTCGACACCACTTACAGAGTCTGTGTATACAAGTTTTTAAATGTGTTTGCTGCTGTTGTTTTTATTAACTGTATTGATTGATTTCCCTCTGCCTTAAGGTTGGAATATTACTTTTAACTCAGGGCTCAACCATTTCAATTTAATTTAGAATAACCAAAAATGTTCTTCTCAGAGACTGAAATATATCATGCTCCGGAGGTGAAGCATATCTTCCTACATTAAATTGAATAAGATTACCATCTCTATCTCCGTGTTTAGTTTCTCAGCTTGGCTTTTACAGTCTAGGCAGCAGGTTGCTGGGCAGCAGGTTGCTAGGCAGCAGGTTTCTAGGCAGCAGGTTGCTGGGCAGCAGGTTGCTAGGCAGCAGGTTTCTAGGCAGCAGGTTGCTAGGCAGCGGAAGCGGCGGAGGAAAAGCTCTTTGGGCATTTCAGAGAGAAGCGCTACACTGCACAGGAGGCCGTGAGTTCATTTTAAACTAATGACCAGGAGGACAATGATGAACATAATATGGAGCAGGAATCAACTGAGGAGAAGGGAGATAATGGTGACGTGATGGATCCAACATACAAACCACATGCTGCGCCTGAAGAAGCCCCCACAGGAACGGAGGAAGGGTCAAAAGTGAAGAAAAATTGCTCGGTTCTCATCGCAGGTCACTTTCGATCACACTAGACAGATGGGATTATTTAACAACAGCATCCAACGCACCTGTAACAGGTTCCAGATAGGTGCCGTAGTCAGAATTATGGAGTTGTTGGATTTTATTTTTATTTTTTTACAGAAAAACAAGTTAAAAGTTAATGGCAATGAGGTCTTATCGGCCCTTGTTACACACATTTTACTCACCACCAGTGTGAAATCATTGAACAGGACATTTATTAAATGCTTGGAAGCAGGAGCACGAGTTGAACATGGTAAATGGACTGTACTTTTCTAGTCTTCCGACCACTCAAAGCGCTTTAACACATAAGTCATGCATCAATCTGCTCAAGAACTCTTCCTGTGGCTTCCAGTTAAATAGGCTTAGGTGTCACAAACTGTGCCCCCCTTGTCAGGAACTGGTCACCTCACATCAGAGAGAGAGATGGCATTGGCCTTCATAATTCAAACTTAGTTTACACTTAAGCAATAAAACCTGAGTTCTCTGGGGAAATATCCAGATCCTGCTTCACAAATCATCCTGAACATCTGTTTATCTAAGGAACACCATGCATCAGTTCAGAGGTCACAGACCTTCTGTCCACTCACACTGAATCTTATTTGAATTTTACCAAGACCCCAAATCAAACAAAAAAGGTAATGTGTTTCAATAAAGTTATTAAATGTGTAACACAGAATTAAGGGAAGAATCCACGTTATATTCAGGGAGGAGGCCCTGATGGGTTCTGATCCAGAAGGTCCTCTGTGCGAGTTGCTGTTCTTCCTGTCGGTCACCTTTCAGGCTTTGGATGAAGAGCAGGAGGCCGTAGCTTAAGAGCAGGCTGAAGGAAGGAAGGAAGGAAGGAAGGAAGGTCTCTCTGCTCGGACAGCTGGTCCCACAGAAGGATGAGACGGTCCACATGGGGCCAGTCTGGTGGGTGAGGAGGTGAGAGTAGGAGTGGATGGGGGGTTGAATATGGCCCAGTGGGTCGCTCTTGTGTGTGACGGGGTGAAGAGAGGATGGGTGGGGTCCAACAGGCGAGTGAAGGTGAAGGGGGGGGGCTGTGCCACCAGCAGGTACGGGTCAGGTTACGAAGAACGAGAAGGGTGAGGTAATAAAGGATTTTTAACCCCCCCAGAGTACAGCAGTAACACACAGCACTGTAAGAAAAGTGTCCGTAGAGTTTTATTCAGAGTCTCAGAGCGACGCGGATGGATTACAACCCAAATATCGTTAGTTTCATAAATCGTCTTTGTCTCTTTTTATTTCTTTTCATCTCCATCTTTAATCAGAAATGGAAGCTTTGGTCACATGAGTGAAAAAACATTCTTATAGTGTGACGTTAAAAACAAATTGTGGACGTTAAGGCAACAAACAGCTGATCAGAGATGTACTAGTGAGTTAACTAATATAAACATAGCAGGTTGTTCAGCTCAGTGACATCACGCTTCAGAAGCACAGGAACTTCACCAACACAATAAAAGCACCCCAGAGACACACGCAGCGCCAAAATAAGACCAACAACAGGAGGACAGAGTGACACACACCTCTGCGAGTTAGTCTGAGGTCTTATTTTCATGAAAGACGTGAAAATCAAATGACAACTTGATAATTACAAAAAGAAAAATGATGTTTGTCTCCTTTCATCCTCAATCACTTTCTACATGAAACTACTTCACATGTAGTGAAGCTCATTTTATGAAATCAGCTACAAATACAAGACCGTGACGCGTCACGAGAGCTTTAGGGATAATTAGAGACAAGTTGTCTTCTTCTGTAGATTTGAAATAGAAGACTCAGAAAACCAAAGCAGGGGGTGAGATGTTTGTTGAGCCCATCAGGAATCAGTTCCTGCAGAAGGAGCAGACTGGCATCAATGGAGTCAGGGCCAGTACCTGACCAACACCAGTCACACAACTCCTCCTTCACAGATGTTCTAGTTCACTGGGGGGGAAAAAAAAAAAAAATGGCAAAAAACTTGAATTTATTCACCCTGATAATGAGATGGGGATACTGGTCCCAGTCCAGTATCCTCCAGTAGAACCTTTGGACTGGGAAGGCTTTGTTGGATAAAAACATGAATTGGTTTAGTCGATTCTGTGACATTAAAGTTGTGTGTGAGTGTCACTCAGGAGACAAAGACGCTGATCCTGCTGGACCAGTAGAACCAGTTCAGGTGTGATCATGGACCAGTGGAACCAGTACAGGTGCTGTTGGGACAGACAGGATTGGAAGGAGGAGAATGAAGACGAAGAGGACGATGTGCGGACGACAGACTTCCGGTCTGTTCTCTCTTCAATCCACAGTTTTCAGTCAGTCGTCCGCCCAGGCTCCGCCCACAACAGGTGTCCAGTTGATGTGGGCGGGGTTATAAAATGGAGGGGTGTCTGGTTGGTTTTGGGCAGTGTCGAACAGTTAAGTGTTACTTTTCAGAACACCCAGACAACTCTGCAGCAGCTGGAGGTTCCCCTGCAGGTGAGGGGGCGGGGTCAGAGGCACAGGTTAGCGGAAGGAGAGGGACAGGTGTAATGCTGCACATCCATCCATCCATCCATCCTGCGGTGAGCATCTAAGAGGTCATTAGTTACCTTGGCGTGTTTGAGTTCCAGCTCTGCCAGCTCCACCAGGTTCTTCCTGAAAGCCGCCACTCGCCTCGTCTTGAAGTCTACGAGCTCTGCAACAGGAGATGAGGGACATGAGGGACACGAGGGACACGAGGGACATGGAGTTGAGCGGTCTTTCCCAGCAGTGTGAGCGGACTGCACGGACCTTGCTTGGCGGACTCTGAGATCTTCTCAAACTTGTGGCAACAGAGCTGCTGGCTGGTCTCTGCCTGCAGGACGTCTCTGTTCTTGGCTCGAGCCTTGTCCAGGGCCTTGTTAGCGTTCTCGTAGTCCACCAGAGACCGGCTCCGCCGGTACAGCAGGTCCTGCAGACCCACACCAGCACAGTGTTCAACACAACCACCAGGACACACGCACGCTCCCCCCCAATGGTCCGAAGCACTGTAAGAAGCACTGGCATTGAGTACTAGGTGGTTATTTTTGGACTCTAATAAAAGGGACACCGAGGTATTCACTAGAAGTATTGCTGACAGGAATTAAAGCATAAACAGATTTGCATAATTCAATCTAAACCTGCAGACGTTGCTGTTACACCGGGACTGGATGTATCTTTTTGTCTTTTCATTGGCTGTACGATGCGTCCTTCTTGAGACAAAAGAGGCCCCTTTCCTTTAAGTCTATAACTAGAGGTTGGACAGGAACTACTACAGTAAATAGGCGGATCTGCTGGTTAATGCTGTGGGTATTTCCCGTAGGACACACAGCTCCTTTCTTTCTCTCGCTCGCTTTCCTTTTAGAATAAATTCCTTTTCTTCCACAGAATATTTGATCTTCCTCACAGGTTTCCATGGCTCTATCTGGACACTTGCTGCTATTATCATTATTATATTAAATCACGTTATTATCACGGCCTAAAGTCTTTGTGCTTTCCCTCCCCACTCCTGTGGATGGTGCTTCCATTTGATCATTTGTCGTATGAATAGAACGTACATCCTCTGTAGGGAGAACGTCAGAGGAGGAACCCTCGGAGGTTCCTTAGTGATTTTGGGCTATACCGAGATACGAGCACCTTCCTAAACATGCACGGAGAAGTTGGTGCCCACATGTGCCGAACATTAGAGCCACGGTTAAGTTGGCATCGGGTCAAACACAGATTTACCCAGCATGCACTGTGTCTGACCTTTGCAGCTTGCGACTCTCTCAGATAATATTTCAGCAGGTCGGCGAGCTTCAGGTCTTCATCCGCTGCGACTCGAGCCTCAATCTTCTGTAAGAACCACAGGAAGCTTCAAAGGTCCGCGGTGTACAACATGCTGCTCGGGACAAACACGGCGACCTCGTGTGGTCCGACAACTTACCCTCGTCTTCTCAAACAGCTCGGACACTTTCAGGAAGAACCTGAAACAGGTGATGCAATTACTGATAGTAGTAACTCTGTAATGTTGTTCCGTCCTCGGAGGAGGGAAATTAGGGATTTTGAAGAGAAAGCAGAGGATGGATCGTACTTGCAGAGGTCTGTGGAGTCCTGCGTTCCTAATGTGTAGAGAGACGAGGCAATTCTGTTGATGTCATCCGCAGCATCTGAAGACAGACGCCTGACTTAGTCCCACAATGCACCTGGACAGCATTTGAATCACAACCCCCCATTAAACAAGCTCCTCTCTTACTTTTGTGTGAGCGGATCATTCGGTCGGATTTGGCCGAAGCGTCTTTGACTCGGTTGTGATATTCTAACAGAAAGGTCTTCTCATGCTCAAAGAAGTCGTCAACGTCCTGAACAACAAACAGAAAGCGTCACCGTGGAGACAGAAGATGTGGTCGGGTCAGCGGAATAGAGAAGAACTCTGAATGGCACCTTGACTCCGGCCACCAGGACGCCGTCGGCAGACTTCACCACGTTCTTGAAGAAATCCTCCAGCTTCTCCTTCTTGTTCTTCCCTCGGACGCTCAGCTGTCAGAGAGGGCAGAGGTCACCACACACCATGTGACAAAAGAGAAATGACCTATTCCTAAGCCATTTTTCTGTTTGTTACTAATCATTTTAGTGTGTATTCTCTTAATGGATGTTAAGTTCATATCTGAAATAACTTTTTATGATTCATTAGATTGACCTGCCAGACAATGAGCGGATAAGACGAGGGGGCGGGACAGAGTCACGGCAAGGCATTGTGCAAAGGAATGATCTCCTTTGCTTTGGTGAAGGCTGCTCCAGTGGCCCCTAAAGGAGCTAAGTAAGGAAGCATTGAAGCTCCTTTCCTTAGCATTAGGAACTCAAACAGCTCTCATCATGGCGAGGAACCTTCCTATGAGGAAAGGACTGTTGCAACACAGCCGGTGTATGTGTGTGTGTGTCTTTTGTGACTCACGTCCTGGTTGTACTCCAGGAAGACGTGGAAGTTGAGGTCCTTCCTGAGGACAGGGTGAGCTGCCACGCGGCACAGGAAGACCTCGTGCATGGCCACGGTCTTCTTGAAGATAGCCAGGTACTCTCTGAGAACAGGCAGACGGGGTCAGAGGGGGATCAGACGGGTAGACGGGGTCACTGGGGGGTCAGACGTTAGCCGGTAGTGACTCACGCCTCCAGCTCCTGCTTCATCTTGGTGAATTCCTCCTTGGTCATGGAGCCTTCTCCCTCCCCGAGCTTCTGCAGCTTCTCTCTGGACGCATCAAAGTCTGGTCGGGGAGGAGCTGGGGGAATCTACACAACAACAACAGAGATCATTGTTGCTCTTTGTACTAAAGTAGTAAAACTACTAGCAGGATTTATAACTTGGATAGAAAAAACTAATATTATTAAAAACAGTTAGAAAAAAGCCTAGAACACTAAAACGATGCAAAAGTCAGAAGAATGGCATCCGGCAGTCTGTCCGTCCCTCCGTCCGTCTCTCCCTGTGGTTCTTACGATGTATCCAGCGTACTCTTCGTTCTCCACAAACGAGTCGTGCAGCCAGATGAACTCTTCGTGCTGTCGGACCACCGAGAACTCGTTCTGCTTGAAGTTGGGCAGCGTGCTCTGTGCGGACAGGAAGTACACGATGCATCAGGCGATCACATGACCATGAGAGAATGTCCTCACTGATCAACACACCTTAGTGTGGACGGTGAACTTGACCTTGTCCCTCTCACTCAGAGCGTCGGAGATGTCCACCTGCAGCGTGGCGTCCGTCTGCAGGTCCACGTTCACTGCCCGCGGCTGCTGAGAGACCACATATCCCATAATGCACCAAACTCACGGGTATCGGTCAATAATAATTATCATATGTGTCATCAATTAGCTCAATGTACCAGGGAATAATGTATTTTTTCCGTAATTCAGTAATACTCATCTCTTCCTCCGTTTCTTACGCCAGCTCATTGACCGACATGTTTGTAGTTCTTCTCAGTGGACTTTTCTGGTTATTAGCTAATGAGCGCAGACGCAAAGCGTCTCACCGGGTCACAGGACCAGGACCAGGACCAGGACCAGGACCAGCATATCGCGCTGTTCTAGTCAGGAGACTATAAACCGAACTAAATTAATCCAAACAGCAACAGACGGCGTCATGTGACGGCCTGGTGGCTAGCTAGCACAGCGGAACCTGTTAGCTCAGTTAGCCTGGTAGCTAGCGGCCTGTAGCCGGGCAGGGTTCCGACACCTTGGAAGACGGACGGACAGACAGAAAGACAGACAGGTAGACAGACAGACCGGTAGACAGACAGACAGACAGGTAGCACTCACTCCCCGGTCCTCCTCGGAGAGGAAGTCGGGTCCGTCGTCCAGCCCTTCCTGCTGCGGACAGAGAGCGCAGAGACGGACACACAGCCGTTAGTTTACTGAGCACAGATACACGCTGACGGCCCGTTAACGAGCAGGAGAAAAGAGAAAAGACATCTACCCACCATCATGGCTGCAAACGGGTGGAGACAGGAAGTAGCGTGACGTCACGACGGCGAAGCGTCATGAATCAAATCCAAAACAAGAGGAGCTTTATTTATAATAACTGTACTTTAATTACATTATATTATATTTTAGTTGTTCTTTTTTTTTATTTGGATTTAATTTAGCTTTGTTTAAGTATGTTATAGTATTTGATTTGATTCTGTTTTACTTTATTTGATTCTATTTTGTTTCATTTGGTATTCTTTACTTAATTTAGTCATATTCTATTCAGTTTGATTTGATTCGGTATTGTCTGCTTTATTTAGAGTTTTGCCTTATGTGGACGTGATGACCCATGTGGTTCATAAATAGCAGCAAGATCAGATTTGGGAAGTGAGTCACCCTGTTTATGATGTCATCACAGAGGGACACCTGCCCACCCGTTTGAAGAAGAAGCAGCAGCCATCTTTATTGACAGGTATCGCACATACAGGAAATTGTTCTCTGCATTTAACCCGTCCCACACAGTGGGAGCAGTGTCTTGCCCAGGGACACTACGGCATGGGACATGGAGCAGCCGGGATTCAAACCGCCAACCCTGGAGTTTCCAGCACACCCTCTCTACCCCATGTGCCATGGTCGCCCCCATAATTCACGATGATGTCATTGTACTACCCCACCTCATATTCACCTGTTTATAATGCTGCCAATGGAAATGTTTGCAACGTGTTCTGTGTTTCAGACTTGATGCAACCTTGCTGGTTCCAATGGGGTCAACTAGACCCTTGCTGGTTCTAATGGGGTTAACTGGACCCTTGCTGGTTCCAATGGGGTCAACTAGACCCTTGCTGGTTCTAATGGGGTTAACTGGACCCTTGCTGGTTCTGATGGGGTAAACCGGACCCTTGCTGGTTCCAATGGGGTCAACTAGACCCTTGCTGGTTCTAATGGGGTTAACTGGACCCTTGCTGGTTCTGATGGGGTCAACCGGACCCTTGCTGGTTCCAATGGGGTTAACTGGACCCTTGCTGGTTCTAGTGGGGTTAACTGGACCCTTGCTGGTTCCAATGGGGTTAACTGGACCCTTGCTGGTTCTAGTGGGGTTAACTGGACCCTTGCTGGTTCCAATGGGGTTAACTGGACCCTTGCTGGTTCTAGTGGGGTTGCCCACCCTCTGAGGACCGGCCGGCGGGGGGGGACTAGTAGTAGCAGTAACCAAACGGAACAACGGCGCTGCTGTCAGCGCGAAACGAATCGATATGAAGAAAGAAGGTCTTTACCTCACTGACTTGCACTGATTGGACTCAGGTTTGCTTTGGAATGAAACCCAACGCGCCCGTTAGTAAGCAAGGATGGCGAATTAGTTTCGTCAACTCCTGCGGTCGACAGTGCATCAAAATCAGAAGCCATTTATTGCCACATGTTGGACAAAGAGGAATTTGACTTGGTCCATTGGTGAAGGATAAATAAGATAAATTAAAATAAGATGAAAATAAACAAGGGTTAGTGGTTTTTATCTGCCTTCGCTATCCACTGGTTGCTGGTTCTAGTGGGGTTAACTGGACACTTAATGGTTCTAATAGGTTCCCACTGGTAATGGATTCCGCTCTACATCGATCACCTAGAGTCATGCCAGATGTTCTTGGTTCTACTGGGTTCATACTTCACATCTCTGGTTATTATGAGGTTCTAGGTGGGTCACGCTGGTTGAGTTGCTGGTTGTCCTGATGATCGATGGTTCTAGGTGACTCCCATAGAGCTTCTAAGGAGAACAACCCCAGTGGTTGGTGGAAGCAGACACGAGGCGTTGGCTCTGCCACAAGCTTTTATTGCAGTGGCTTCATGTGATCTCAGAAACAACGTTTCAACTTTAAGGCTCCAGATGTCGTCGGGTTGTTGTTGTTGTTGTTATTGTTGTTGTCTCTCACTGCTAGGGTCAAATCTGCTTCCTGTAGTGTTTCTTTACAAAATAAATGCAGTCTAACTAACTGGTGTGACGGTTACATTCAAACTGAAAGTAAGGCGCCGACCAGCTGGAAGGAGGCCGTTACCACGGTGACGTGAACCTGTAGTGTGTCAACAAAGTGCTCTTTCTCTTGGTGCATAGCAACGACGAGCGGAGAAGAAACAACACTTTACAATAATAAATAAAGTCATATGTAATAAAAGCGTCATGACCCTTGCGCGGCAGGAGGCGGAGCTTTGCGGAGCCCGCCTTCCACGCGTGTGGCTGCTTCCTTCACATGGACTTTTTGGCAAAGCTCTGGCTGTTAGCGAGAGACAACCGTCCGGGGGTCTGGGAGTGAGTCATTTCTGGTTTTATTCTGCCAGGTGAACAGAAGTCATGTGGCAACAAAGGGGGAGGGGTTTGCATATCATTATGTTAATGAGGTCTCCTTCAAGTCGAAAGAAAGCGAAACGAACAAAAAGAAAAACAAAGGCCTAAAGATGCTAAACTCCTTCAGGACACGATGCGGAGCGGCTGGGTGGAGCGGTGCGGGTCAGGTGGGGTAAGGTGCTTCTTCCGGACGGTTGGCTTGGCTCCGCTCGCCGCTCTGACATCACAGCGGCTTGCCCTCCAGAGACACCACCACGTTCCCCCCAAGCTTCTCCGCCAGCGTGGCGCGGTCCTGGATGTCGTCCAGCCCGTTCACCTGCCACTCATGTTTTATACCTGAGGAGACACACCTGAGTTCAGCCAGGGGCGCAGAGGCATGACACAAGCCACGCCAGCTCCATCAATCACACCTGCGCTCGGCCTCGTGACATTTCCCACCAAGGAGAAGTGGTTAGGAAAGGACACAGGAGACATTACATGACCTACTCACCTGTAAACTTCTTCTTGATGGCGTCTTTAGAGCTGGCGTAGATCATCTTGCTCTTCAGCGGCGCATTCTCTGGAGCCCTGAGACACAGCAGACACTCACTACCAAAGTGATGTACAGGGACCCGAAGGGGGCGAGGGAGCAAGGAGGCTCCCTATCATGTTTGGAACCTGTCCACTTTTATATAGATATACACTGTGTGTAGTTGTGTTGTGGCTAACAGGTCTCTGCAATTGGCTCATGTGTTGGACCAATCACAGCTCATCAGTACTTTATTATAAGCCCAGACCAGGTTTCTGGTCCTGGTCTGTGAGACTATCGATCAGAACAGAGTCCCCGCTCGGTACCCTACCAGAAGATGAAGACCAGGTCCTCCTTTTTGGACTCCTTGGTCTCGTAGGTGGCGTCGTACAGCCCGTATCTGCAGTCGTTGGGGGGGAGGAGCTTAACGAAGCAGCCATAGGGGTCGTCCACCGTCTCCCCGATGTCGCCCACCAGGATCTGCTTCCCCTCCTCCACGATGATCTTCTTCTTGTCCTCACTTAGACAGAACAGCACCGCCTTCTTCCTCTTCTTCACGTCTTCCTGGGACGAGGACTTCCTCACTTTCATGTCGTTGAACACCCGGATGACCTCATCGTTCACGGTCACACCTGACGCCTGAGGAGACGTGTGATTGGTTCACAGGAGGACAAACATGGGTTCGAGGAACCTCCAGCAGCTCTTCTGCTCCACAGACAGCTACTCATTTCACACTATTGTAATATGTATTTATATAATATCAATGGTGTAACGAATGAACAGATGATCCATGTTGAGGACATTAGCTGCTCAGATCAACAGGATTATTAATATTATTCATTTAGTGAATTCATATATCGGCTGATGATCATTATATCCGTATGACGTCACTGCTGATCAATAACCATCATTGGGAAATGTATTAGTTACTGAAGGTTTGACGCATCCTGCCGGTCAATAAATGTTCATCACTGATCAATCATCAAAAATGAACAATAACATGTATATTTAATAAATCATTACGAAAAAAAAACTAATACAAAAACAAGTGACTTATCTGCTGGTTCAACTGGTTAGTTACCAGGCTGATCACCAGTAACGCAAACTACTAATACAAACACTATAACCCATTAACTCAAACTACTAAAACCATCTAACAACCAACACAAACTAACTTTTACCAACACCAACTAGTAACCATCTAACTACCTACTATCAAATCTAATAACACTACAATCCTAACTATAAACTACCACTAGCTTAGCAGTAACCACTATATAACCCTGAAATGACCACTAACCCTAACTAACCAGTGACCCATCTGACTTACTACTAACCCGAAGTAACTAGTAACATTAACTAACCACTAACAACAGTAAAGCCTCAGACAGACAACTAGAGAAAGACAATAACTGAAAATGAGCCGGGACTAAATCCAGACTCCTTTAGCTGGACCGGTTTAACGATAGTTGAGTGAGTCCAGCTGGTCCCGGTTAGTCCGGGTTAGTCCCGGTTAGTCCCGGTATGCAGCGGGCCAGTCAGCAGGGCCACAGCGGAGAGAAGATGGCCGCCGCCGGCCACACGGCCCCGGGCAGGAGCGTCTCTGCCCGGAACGCGGACCACTAGCGAGATCGAACCGGATAAACGTCCGGTACCGTCGTCAGATCAAAGCCCGTTCGTAGGAGCCGCCAGTGACGTAATCGCAAGTAACGGCAGAAGGACCGAGTTGCTAACTAACGGGCGAGGCGGCCATGCTAGTTCACGTCACGCTCCCCGGTGAGCCACATAACGGTCCACCGGGGACCCGGAGGAACCGGTCTGCACGTGAACGCGAGGCGCGGAGGCCCCAGACCACCTGGAACCGGGGGGGGGTCCCGGGGGCTCTTACCATGTTGTGCACGCGGTTTCTTCGTGAGTTCGGAGTTTCTCCGGAGTGAAAGGTAGCGGGGAATGTGTCCGTCCGACCGGAGGAGGAGGGGGAGGGGGAGGAGGGAGGAGGGGGAGGGGTCTCAGGAGGAGAGGGGCGGGGCCATGACACTCCGACCGGACGGGACTGGAACCATGTTAATATACATTAGTACTAGTACCCCAAATACTAACAATACAACTACGAATATATTACTACTATAAATAACTAACAATACTTCGATTACAAAATATGGATATGGAAAGTACCACCACCACTGCTACTACTACACCACCGTTACCAATAACAGCTACAAGTACTACTAATACAGCAGTACTTCTTAAAAGTACGGCTCGGTTAGCGGTCTATACTTTATAAGATAGTGTGCTGAAGTCTGTCAGTATCTCGGTAGAACTCGTATTCTAATGCTGTAAAAATACTACCAGTAATACTCGTTTGGGAATAAATCAGACGGTTAGCAGCTCCTGCGTTATGAAAGTCAGTTTATTTCTACATGAGAACAAAGAGCATCAGGAAGCTTCCATCAGTCATAAATAAATCCAACAAGGAACTAAATAAATAGGCAGCAGTGGCTCCAGTGTAGTGTACAGCAGGGAGGCGGACACAGCAGTTACACCAACACCACAGAAGAAGAACCCATTAACAAAGCAGGAAGAACAAACTACAAACCCTGCTAAAAGAACAGTTCCACTTATTCATTTCACACCTGGTGTCTTTATGCTACACTAAGTCCTTACACACAGGAGAGAGACAGACCTTCAGCTGCAGATGACTTATTTCACTTTTATTCATAAATGAAAATCACATCTCGTTGAAGAGACCTTGTTGCCCGCTGATGCTCTGCTTCGGTAAAAAAATACTTCTCATTTAAATCTAAATTATTTTTGTCCCTGAGAGAAAACAAAATGCCTGATGGGAAATTGTTTTGATGCTGGTGTGAACTTGCCTCTATTGCCTGTCTCCATTTGCTCTATTCTTGGTCCCTGCCGTCTATATTGTCTCTCTCCATTGTCTGTCTTGTGTCCCTACCTTCTCTATTGCCTGTATTATCTTTACCTTCTCCATTGTCTTTACGGTCTGTCCTCCACCGTATCTGTGTCCAACTATCTGTCTCCATTGTCCTCCAACTCCACTGGAATGTTGCTACATGTCCACATATATGGACAGGAAGTAAACACCCTGAAGGTCAGCAGGTCAAATCTGCTCAACGTTTCATAAACCCTAAGACGACAAAACTTCAGAACGTTTGTTTTAACCTTTGACTCCTGCGCTCCATCAGGTCATAGAGCAGCAATTTAGCAGACCACAAGGTGTGAGGGAGGGGAGGGAAGGAGGGGGTCAGGAGGTCACAGGGTGCGTTTGATTCAGTATCGGGAGCGCTTAGCCGGGGGAGTGGCGCCTTGCTCCGATAGGCCGAGTCTGCTAAGCTCCGAGTAGAAGAACTGCTGCAGACGATGTCCCGCCTTCGCCTCGTTAGTGTGGCGAGGGTTATACTGGAGACAGTTGGAGAACATCAGGTCCACGTCGGAGACAAACTCCCCTGCAGGGACGAACAGCATTAAAACCATAAGTTTAAGTCTGGTGTTGTTGGTCTTCATGGTTTGAATCAGTCATCAACATCTAGTTCTCTGCATTCTCTGCAGTGACCAGCAGGGAGCGCCAGCTCTGGTCCCATAGAAGACCGAGAACAGGACTACGTCTCGCTTGAGTTTTTTCCTGAGTAAACATTGGTCTATATGGAGTCAAACTGACCATAAAGCAGGGGGTGCGTTAGTTTGTGTGTCTCCTCACCTGCTGTCTGATATTCACAGTTGTTGACTTTTTCTCTGATGGTACTGAGAGCGATCGGCTTCTTGACGATGTCATAGTAGTCTGGCACCTACAGACAGGTATGTGAGAGTTAACAGACTGCTGAGGATCATCTCTCACACACACACACACACACACACACACACACACACACACACCTGAGTCCTGGACACCAGCTTCATGAAAGGCCAGCTGTCCTCATGTCTGACGAGCCCCACAGTCAGCTGCTCACAGGCCGACAGCTCATGGACGCCATTGTTCCTGCCGGAGGAGCGCCGGGTGGAGGAGGAGGAGGGCGGAAGGACGGGTCTGGAGGGTTTAGGAGGCGGAGCTACCTCTGTGGGCGGAGCAGAATGGAAACGTGAAGTGTGGCGGGTTTTACCCGTTGATTGATCGGGGTACCCAGGCGTGTATTTACCTTTCGGCTGCCTCTTGAGGGGCTCGGGCTGAGCCAAGGAGGTTTTGGTGTTTGTTGCCAAGATCTCGTGGCTCAGACGAGCACTGAGCCGACTCCCAGAACGGGCCGGAGCTTTACCTGCAGACGAGTTGGCCTTCTTACCTGAGGACCTGTGATTGGATAGAATGTGGAATTAGAGCTACAGGTAACAGGGATCAGGGGGGTATTCCAGAAAGGAGGTTCAACAAACTGAGTCTATCCTTGAACTCAGATTCCCGTCTCAGAGTATCCGGTTCCAGAACAGCTGATCTGCGTCAGTATGTTCACCGTGAGTTAAGCTGACGATTATAAAAAGCCATCATCGACGGAGCCCCGATAGCACGAGTCACCATGACAACAGTAAATAAGAGCCATTTCCCTGCGATGGAGTCGGAGGTCCTTCTGCAGGCCGGTGAGCATGAGCACGTATTTCACAGGAGAGAGCGACGTGGGGGAGAATCGCGTAACTTTGAATGTACTGTTCCATTGACATGACATTTAACCGTGAGATCGTCGCAGCTTATAGTTATGAATATAAGTAGGAATGAAATCGGATTTTCATTTTAGGGGCAATCCAACGGGGAAAAAAGGACCTGGAAGCAGCTAAAAATGAAATTTAAAAACATAGTTAAAAAGGTATGGAATATATTACCTCACTTTAATTTGAATTAATTTTCTTTAATTGACTTGGGCTATTAAACAAAGTAAATATTAATTCAGTGGCTACTTGAAATATTAAATTAAACCCCTAATAAGATGGTTTTACACGTCTTTTCACTTAAGACACATTTTTGGAAATGTAGACAATTAGCAAACACAATGTACCATTAGAAGACCGGAGGGATAGTTGCTGGAAATGGGCCTCTATACAACTATGTAGATATTTCATTCAAAACCAGATGTTTCCACCTAGAATAGTCATTTACCACATGAACAATGTATAGAGTGTATTTCTGATTCATTTAATGTTCTCTTCATTGAAAAATAAGGACATTTCTAAGTGACCCCAAACTTTTGAACGGTAGTGTGTGTGTGTGTGTGTATATATATATATATATATAGCCTACGTTTTAATTAATATATATCCACCCACCCAACAGTTGTGGATGGTGTCATCTGCACAGTTGTAATAGATATCAGATACTCAGATCTTGCCTCAGATGGTAGTTAAAAGTATTCAGAAACAGCATCTTAAGTAACGGGAAGAAGATGATGATGATGATGATGATGAGGAGGAGGAGGAGGAAACGCTGTCTGCTGCCACAGGGAGCGATCCAGAGGGGCTACTGAGGTGTGTCTTAATATTATGTACTGGCAGTGCTCTGCCCATTCACATTCTACAGTGGAGTTTGTAGTGATGAGCACAGATGATGGATAACTAGCACGTTCTTGTCCTTGAACAGAACATGGTTGGGCATCACCAGCCCACAGCGTCAAACAATACCATGTTTAATCTGTATGTGGAACTGTAGGAATCACATGTGGTCCATATGTTTCCTCGTTACCAGTAAAGCGGTAGCGTTCTAACAAAAATTCCTCTGGAAATGATAAAGCGTCTAATCTGGGTCGGAAGACTGTTGTGACGTAAAGCATTTTGAACCACGACGGCTTCGATGTCAATTGGATTCGTTAGCAACGTACAATCCGTGTCTACCAGCATCGTCATGTGGGAGGAGACGGTAGAAACTCCGGGTTTCTTATAGTAAACCTGCCAGCGAGCAGGTGATGTTCACAGAGTCTGTTACCATGGTGATTGACCCAGAGTCTGTTACCATGGTGATTGACCCAGAGTCTGTTACCATGGTGATTGACCCAGAGTCTGTTACCATGGTGATTGACCCAGAGTCTGTTACCATGGTGATTGACTCAGAGTTTCACTTACCTCTCTATCTGGAACGGATAACTCAGTTTCCCTGATCTCACGGTTAACTTACTCTGAGTTTTCACATAACCCGCTTTCTGGAACCCCCCCTGGTCTACAGCTAAACAGGGATCAGGTCTACAACAGATACTGACTTGGAGGCAGATCCGTTTTTCCCTGCCGAGGTAGGTGTGCAGATCTTGGCAGTGGCCTGTTGACCTTTGCCTTTAGTGGGCAGGAACAGGTTTTTCTTGGTTCTGCAGAGAATTTAAAGGAGAAGCTGCTGTTTAAGACTGAATTCACTTTAAATGGACATTGTTAAGTATTTCCACACCTACCTGACAACTACTGGTTCTTCCTCCTCCTCCTCTTCCTCCTCTTCTTCCTCTGACTCCTCCTCTTCTTCCTCCTCCTCCTCCTCCTCCTCCTCGTCTTCCTCCTCTTCCTCCTCTTCTGGCTCTTCCTCGTCTTCATCAATAGAAGAGCGCTGACGGGACGGGAGGCGGCTTGATCTCTGTTTAGGTCGACAGTCCGGACAGAACCAGTCCCCTTCTGGAACCGCCTGGAACAAGCCAATGGTAGTGTTGGGATGATGCTAATGGAGCCGAGACATGGTACCAAAGGCAGTGGGTGTGGTTAGCCCAACTCGAGGCGGGGTCTCGTGGAGTGGGTGTGGCTACCCTACCTTGGGGCGGGGTCTCAGGCAGTGGGTGTGGCTACCCTACCTTGAGGCGGGGTCTCAGGCAGTGGGTGTGGCTATCCTACCTTGAGGCGGGGTCTCGGGCAGTGGGTGTGGCTATCCTACCTTGAGGCGGGGTCTCGGGCAGTGGGTGTGGCTATCCTACCTTGAGGCGGGGTCTTGGACAGTGGGTGTGGCTATCCTACCTTGAGGCAGGGTCTTGGGCAGTGGGTGTGGCTATCCTACCTTGAGGCGGGGTCTCAGGCAGTGGGTGTGGCTATCCTACCTTGAGGCGGGGTCTCAGGCAGTGGGTGTGGTGTCCTCGATCACAGCTGTCACACAGCAGCATGTTGTCGGCGTCTCCTTTGCGTCTGCAGATGCGACAGCGAGCATTGAGGACGGAGCGAGACCAGAGGACACTTCTCTCTAGACTGGACAGGTGGACAAACACCTGGACAAAAACATCTGGATGTCAATCCCAAACTAAAAGATTGTTAATACGATTTTCTTTATCCACCTACAGACAACTAATGAGACAAAAGGATGAGGGACTTTTCGGACCTGAGACAGACTTGTGCAAATCTGCAGGGACTCTCTCCATCGCTCCAACACCGTCTTAATGACCCGACCGCTGTCACTGCCGTCTGAGGACAGACGGGGGGGGGGCAAATGGTCAAGGAGAGACAAAGAGAACAGATAAAAGGACAAAGAGACAGAGAGAGACGGGCAGTGGACAGACAGGGTGACAAAAAGGAACAGATGGGATAATAGGGAGGCAAAAAGAGACGGATAAGGGGACAAGGACAGGCAGGAGGACAAAGAGACAGACAGTGAGTTTTGGCCTTTAAACTGTTCTGGTAATGACATCCTGCTGAGAGACGAATGAATCCACTCAATGAAAGAAACTAATATTATTCTTTGAAGAGGTTGTTCTTTAAAAAGACATTCTACCATCACTGGCCTGGTCCTCGTCTTTCCTTTTGTTCTTCTTGGGCTTCGGATCTTTCTTTGAGTCTTCGTCTCCTGTGAAAACGTGAGACATGTAACAGCGCTCTCTACATACAAGACACAGAACGTAAACAGGAAGCATCATCCAGGACTCACCCAGCGGAGCTTTGATGAAGCGCCTCTCGATGCCTTGCTCAATGTGAGAGAGCGCCTGGGCAAGGATTCGCACCGAGCTGCTGACCAGCTGAGGAGTCCCGCCCCCGCTGCTCGCTGCCACCGATCCGCTGTCAGACCTCAGCTCCTGGAGTCTGGAGACAAAGGGACACTTAGACACTGGTATTTCAATGAGGACGTCAAAATTCTGTCCCTCAGGTAGCAGTTGATCACAGAGCGGCTTCGGGGCAGGAAAAGACACCTGTTGGGTCTTCTCGTCTACCTGCTGGACAGACTGACCATCCGAGCGTCTGCGTACCTGTCTCTGACTCTCAGGTGGACAGGTGAGTCCACCTCCGTAGGATCCACTCGTGCGTTCATCCTTCCGTCAGAACACAGCAGCTCATAGTTTCCTGCCCCCAGTGCTGAGCGCCACACCCGCCTGTCCATCACCTGGGGGGGAGAAGAGTCACCTGCTGTGCCTGGTCCTCTGTGTTCACCAGGTGTGTGTGTGTGTGTGTACCTTCAGGGTCCCCAAGGTTCCCTGGTGGATTCGGTCTTCAATGTCCAGCAACAAGTCTCTCAGTCTCCCCTCCATCACGTGCTCAGCTGCAGAAGTCCATTCTGGGACAGATCGGCACTCCAGATCATCTAGACAAACGAGAAAGGTCATTTATCTGTGTGTGCATCTACCATTACATCAGGGTGGCGCCCAGCCCCCTAAAGGGTAGATGTACCTGCGTACCTGTGGAACTGTACTTGGTCCTGTCACAGCTCTGCATCAGGTGGGTCAGTTTGTCTCTCTCCTGCAGCAGTGCCTCCCTCAGGCCGCTCTCTCGGTGACCTCTGGGGTTCAGAGCCTCAATCAGAAGATCCACCTCCTCCATCGAGGTGTAGAAGAACCATTGGTTGAGACATTTGACTGGAGGCCCACAGGTGCTGAAGGGGGTGGGGCTTGTGCCAGCACTGTCCAGGGAGGAAATATTTAAATAATATTTAGAACTGTGTCTAATCACCGGAGCTCAGGTTTTCAAACAATACCAAAAGAACCCACCTCCCCTGGGAAAGCTCCTCCTCCACCGTGGCAGGGGCGTCCTGTGCGGGTCTGGGCCGTGGACGCAGCATGTCTTCCGTCAGGCCGAAGCCGTCCTCCTCTACAAACAGGGTGGAGGCCGAGGGGAGGAGCCAGTACCGGCGGTACAGGCGGTCTCGACCCAGCGGCAGCAGGCAGGTGCAGGACGCAGCCTTCTGGATCCGCTGTTGCAGCTCTCGAACCTGCGGCAGGGAGCAGCAGGGGTTCCCAAACCTTTTCTGTTAAGCCCCCCTTAAAAGCCCCCCAACGACATATACATGTGGCTGACCTTCTCCTGCTCCTTGGCACTTAGCAGAGTGGGGGGGCAGGGCAGGGGTTTGGGGTCAGAGGTCGGCTGATTGTCTATCTGGTTGACGTCTGCTGGAGGAGAGACGACACTGATGACTCAGCAGAAAGGAAGAGTGTTGAAGTGAGATTCGGATTTGTTTTTTACCCGTTATCTTGTTGAATGAAGACTTTTGCTCCTCGTCTTCCTCAATTAAATGTTTTACAGGAGCCTCACTGCAGACAGAAAAACAGACAAACTTTCAGATTTCTTTCATTTGAGCTCGAATCACAGAGCAAACAGTTACACCGTAAACACATCAGAACATTCGAACCAACCATTAGTTTTTGCTGGTTGACGCTCGCGGGCCGACCAGCAGCTCCGGTCGTCTTTACGGCAGCACAGACCAGCGGGCTTCGACTTGATACCACATGTCCATCATAACTGGCCCGCCGGTCAACAGGACGCCAACGGCTGACACTAAAAGTCCCAGAAGGCATTGCAACCCCTACTAGCGACAAATCTAGCCACTTGTCTTCTGGTCATATTAATTGTACCCTCTGGTTCCAGTGTCGTCACTGGGAGTCTCTGCTGACCTCCTCCCTTAAGGCTCTGTAGCTCTACGCACACGCATGTGATAGAAGCACATTCATCTAGAAAACGACACCTGCAGTGTTAAAATAACCAGTATATGTGTGTATATTATATATATATATATATATATATATATATATATATATACACACACACACACACACACTGTTCAATTGTTGAAATGTGTAGATTCATTATGTATAATTTGCTGAGACAGTTGAGTGCAAATGTGAAACAGAAAATGGGATTTCAAGCTTTTCTTCCCCTTTTTTTTTGCTTAATTGATGCACTTGATTTGAATATGCACCATTTTCTTTATTTTCTCTTATTTTGAAATGCAGTATTTTTTTGTTAATGAGAACATTATTTATATTTGCAGTCAAACATATGTTCAGTTGTTCGTTATGTGACAATAAATGTCAAAGTTTTTGATTTGTTAGTTGTGTATTGATTAAACGCAGATGTTGATACAGTATGATGAACACCATTCCTTTAATCACACTAAATAGTCACATTCACTTGGGAGCCTCGCCTGCCTCGCGTGTTGGAATACAACAGGACCCGGCGGACTCTGGATGGCTGCTCTCGGCGCTGTGCTCGTTTGTAGCTGATGTCAGGATTGTGGGATTTTGAAAAACAGACCTCGCTACATCCATAGAGGTTTGCGCCACAGTTTCAACGTGGAATCAGGAAGCAAAACACACGTAGGAGTCGTCATGGGACACGTCGTGATCCAATCTAAGGCTCAACGGGAAACATGCAGTGCATCGCAGGGCACTACGGAGACTTCCAGCTCGGCCTCCTGCCAGCATGGAACTGCTAAACACAGCGTCCCTCACTAATAAACCCCCCTCATATGAGACCATATTCTGGACAAAGGGCTTGTGTGCCTGACAGAAACCTGGTATAAACCAGGGGACTACGCCGTGCTTAATGAAGCATGTCCCCCTGGCTGGAGCTACTGCCGGTACCTGGACCCTGGACCCCATCTCCTCTCGGTCCTCTCACCTCCAGAGTTGTTAACCTTGCCCTTCATTCCGGCTGTGTCCCAGCGGTGATCCGGCCCCTCTTTAAGAAGCCCATCTGGACCCAGAGGTTCTAGCCAACTATAGATAACCAACCGTGCCTTCCTGACCAAGGTCCTAGAGAAGGTAGTTGCTTCTCAGATTCAGGATCACCTCAAGCATAACAACTTGTTTGAAAAGTTTCAGCCAGGATTGCGTTCAGCTGACAGCACAGAAACGGCTTTGCTCAGCGTGACGAATGACCTGCTGATGATCACCCTCACTTCTCGTCCTCTGGACTGGACTGCTGCATCCTGCTAGAGCGCCTCCACACCACCATTGGACTATCAGACTGCACTCAAGTGGTTTCTAGCAGAACTAAATAAGTCCAGACTGCTCCCGGTCTCCTGTGGTGTTCCGCAAGGGTCCGTCCTCGGCCCCATCCTCTTCATCACCTACACGCTCCCCCTCGGCCGTGTCATCAGCAAACATGGAATGTCCATTCACAGTTATGCTGACGACACACCGCTCTACATCAAGGCTGCCCGAGCCGCCTGCAGCCACGTCACGTCTCGCCGCTTGCCTCAGGGAGTCAGATGCAGAGAAGCTTGTCCATGCTTTTATCTCTACTGTAAGGACTACTTACACTACTGTAATTAACTTCACTGGGATCATAAGAATATCCTGAAACTACAATGCATCCAAAACAAACATGAGCATGTAACACCGTCCTACACTCACTCCACTGGCTCCTTGTCACATTCCAGATCCACTGCAAAGTTCTACTACTCACTCATGAATGCGTCTCTCTATCTGCAAGAACTACTCCCCAAACCTCCACCCCACCGGGTCCCAAACACCAAGCTGCTCACCACGGGCGACCGGGCCTTCTGCTCGGCACCACCACGCAGGTGGAGCAGTCTCCCTGAGCCCCTGAAGGCAGCACGCTCACTGCACTCTGAAACCTGGCTTGGAAACCTTAATCAGGAAGGCGCTTTTTTTCTCTGTCGCATTAAGGGTGCGCTTCAAATAAAATGTATTATTATTATTATTATTATAGTGACTGATTAACAAATCAAAGAGAAACCGGATTGAGTCTCACCTGTTGGTGCAGAGTCCTCCCTTAATTTCCTGCTCCTTCAGTCTCTCCTCCTTCTCCTTCATCCTAGTCTCCTGCTCCCTCAGCTTCTCCTCCTTACGGAGACGGACCCTGAAGATTTGAACTTTCTAAATGAATGTGTACCTGTACATATAGCGGTGTGTGTACATAGCACTGTGTGGATGTGTGTGTGTACCTGAGTGCAGCCTCCTCTCGGTCTCTGCGGTGTTGTTCGGATCGGATTTCTCTCAGCTCCTGTTTAGCAGATCTTTGATCCTCCACGCAGTCCTCGATTAGGTCTCTGCTGGAGGCCAACGTCAGCAGCTTCCCCATCAGAGCCTTCAGGATCCTCAGCTTCTCCTCTAGAAACATCAATAACTCATCAGTACACTTCTAGATCCTTGAGGAACCACAACATGAAGTTTCCTCTAGACCCATCCTGCCTCATGGATCCCTGACTGACCTGGAGTCAGGTCGTACACAGAGGTGCTGGTCAGTCTCTTCAGCAGCAAGGGCTCGGCCAATCGCAGCTCCACACACGGGTCGTCCATCAAGGTGAACCCGCCCTGCTTCTGGTAGCGGAACTTGGCGTTGCCATGGTAACAGCCGGCACCAGACGCCAGGATGTGCAGCCGCAGGATCTCGGACAGTGTGCAGCTGTCCAGATCCAGCTGCTTCAGACCGCAACCCTGGTGCAGCTGAGGCCACGAGGCAGCCAATGAGGCGACCGCACTGAGCGCCGACTGGGTGGCATCGTGGTCATCATCCAGAGCCTCCGGGAGGTCTACACAGCAAACGCACACGCTTAACGCATACTGGTACACACATGGGTTAGGGTTTGGTTTGTGTGTGGGGGTGTGGAGGTGGGGGACCTTCAGCCTGCTCTTTAGCTACGTCCTCCTGCTCTTCGTCCAGAGCCTGAAAGATGGCCGACAGGAAGAAGAACAGCAACTCGCACAGAGGACCTTCAGGATCAGAACCCACCAGGGCCTCCTCCAGAACCTCTGTGGAGAGACACGGCCAGTTTTGAACAGTAGACCAAGAGAACCCGTCTAGAAGTGGCAGGACCTCGACAACATGGGCGCACACACCAAGGGTCGCTAATTAGCTGCGTGGAAACCACAGGCATGAAAACGGGTCACGGGTGGAAAAGGTGAGAAGGGTATCGCCCCTCTGGGGGTTTTCAACTGGTTTTGTCCCAGGGATCATGTTTTGCGTACCAAGGGGGGGGATTGACAACGACTAATGGGGGACACGTCATTAAATACTCGTCATGCATTACATATAATGTGCGCTGGTCAACTAGTCTAAAATTCATTTTAAACAAACGTTTGCGTAGTTTAGTGACAAACGGTACCAGCGTACTTTGAACAGGTTGGCAGGTCTGCTGACAGAACGGTGGAGCACTTCACCTTCTGCCTCGTCGGCCCCCTCACCTCAACATCTACCTCCTCAAGAACGCTAGCGTTAGCTACCGCAGCTTTAGCCAGCTGGCCAACGTCGCGTTAAATGACTCAACTCACCAAGCTGTAGCTAACGTTAGCTACGTCTGTGTCAACAAAGCTCCTGGCTAACTTAAGTCAGATAGACCAGAAAATATTACAATTATTGAAACCATCACTCACCCTATGAATCCCCCCCAAAACGTAACGAAGCTACACGATTCACGTAGGTCACCTATTATGGTTTCAAAACGGCAAATTTCATGCCTGCAACCGGATTCGTTCAGAGGGAGGCAACGTGCCCGCCCCGCTGGTCAATAATACGTGACAACGGGACCAGACGTGTGAGGAAGCACAGCGCTCTGGTCCAGTGCTGAGGGTGGGGCTCTGGTGTACAGAGGAGAGGGGGTTCTGACCCAGAGAGACTCCCTCGGGGAACTCGTCCTTCAGGGCGAGGACCTCGCCGAAGGCCCGCAGGAACTCCAGAACCATCAGAGCTTCTCCAAAGAGGTGGGGGGGCAGACGGGTCCTCACTGGGACGGGACTGGGCAGCTCCTGATGGAGGCAACAGACACAGATCCTGGATCAGCAGGAGGGCGGGAATGGAGCCAAATCCAGGTCAAAGGTTTCTCTTCCCATTAGAAGGGGGACGCCCCCCTCCTGAAAAGACTAATTGCAATTAATAAAAAATAAAAATCCCGAGTGTTGCGAATAAGTCTGTGTGGCGCTCGCAGCAGAACCCAGTGTACTGCCCCCCCTCAGCCCGACTACTACACCCAAAGTTGTGCTCTTGATATTTTGGGGGCTAAATATAGTTTTGAATCAGTTCTAAAATTGTTTAGAATAAAATAGTTTTTTTCCTTCACATTCAGACTTTTTACCCTGATCTGGCGTAGGAGGCGGGGCATCAGCAGAGGGGCGTGGCAGCTTAACAAACCTTCCTGTATCGGTGAATATCTTAACCAAACTCGGATGCCATTGCAGGGATGCTGCGTTTACAGTTGTTAAGCTGTCACTCATGATGACACGCCCCTCTCAGTTGATGCCCCGCCCTCTACACAAAACTTTCGGGTTCATATTTGTTTTTCAAATCAAAACTTGGGGCCTGGATTTGGCGCCATAGGCAGGTCAGAGGGAGCTGTGGTGCGTTCACTGACCCTCAGGTCCTCACACTCCATGTCCTCTCTGGGTTTGCTCCACAGCTTCAGGCGCTCTGCATACTTCTTCTTCTCCTCTTTCAGCTTCTCTCGCTCCTGCAGAGCCACACGCCTCATTATGTCATCTACAATAACCACACTTAAATATCATCATTGGTTAAAATAAGTAGGAATGATATTATTGTTGTACGGACCCTGTCCTTCTCCAGCTTCCTGCGCTCCTTCTCCTCCCTCCTCTTCAGTTTCTCCTCCTCAAACCTCTTTCTCTGGTCCTCCTTGGTTCTCTCCCGGTCCTCCCTCTCCCTCCTCCTGGCCTCCTGCACGTCCTCCTTCTCCTTCTTTAGACGCACTCGGTCCTTCGCTGCAGCTGCCATGTCGTCTTTCTGTTGCAGAAGCTTCAGCTTCTCTTCTGCGGCCTTGCTGAGGGACGAGCTGGCCTGGAGACAGTTTTGAAGGGTTTTCTTTAGAGTTGCTCTCTGGCTCAGGTGCGATGTTGAGCGCATTGGGGGGACGAAGACTGCTGCAGCGGCTCACATCATTTAAATCTCTTCCAGATGGACATTTTTCCAACTTTCTGTCCCCTGGTGGGGGTGTGCATGTGACATGTACATAAGATAATACCATGTTTAATGAAAGAACAAGGTATAGATAGACCGAGACCGGCACCCCAAGAAAGTCTTTTTTACGGTTACAATTGTCCATGCGTGTTTGCCCTGATGGGCACATGCGAGGACAACGAGTGTCCCCCACGTCGGCCGGCTGTGACCCTGGGAAACACTGCATACAAATATTTACAACCAAGTATATACCAAATCTATGTTATTAATAACAGTAACATGGCCCATTCTCTGATATAAATGTCCCATCAAACTGATCAGATATATGAATCTAATCCACACATCCTCCTTACCTGTCCAGGTGAGCCACGCCCACCCTTAGCGGGAGGGCTGAAGGGGAAGAGGGGGGGCTCATCAGGGAAGAACTGAGAGAAGGATTGTTCAGACAGCCGGTACTTTGTCACAGTGGAGGACTGAGGGACAGGAATGGACATCATCAACACAGGAGTGACGAGTTGGACATCATCTGGTGTGCTACGGCGTTATCGAGCAGTGTTTACCCGCCGTTACATCGGGCTCAGGCTCCACCAGGGGGGCCATCATGTGGTGTGTGGGGGGCTCACCTTGAGGACGATGGTCCCGTTCTGAGGTTCACAGTGCTGCTTGAACAGAAGCTTCAGCCTCTCTTTGGAGACGCTGGTCTTCCTGCGACTGAACAAACATCAGCATGTCGTTATGGGACCACATCAACACTGTGTGAGCGTCGCCACCCAGGAGCTCAGTCACATCATGGTTATGGACTCATTCGTCACACGCAGCTGACAGAGCATGTGGATTAAACCCAACCCGGCTCAGCGGTTAGTCGCCGACGTGTCGTATAGTATAAAAAGCTACGGGTCTTTTTCATTCAGCATGGCAACACACTGTCGGAAGTGCTGGGGGCGCTTTGTGTCTTCTGCTGTCCACATGCACCAGGGACGAGACGTTTATCAAGTTGAACGCGGCAGAGTCGAAAAAGTCTGCGAGTGTTTCATCAGCGAACCAGAACACAGATGTCGTTTCAAAGCAGCGTGACGGCAACGCACGCACATTTAAAGGCCTCCACGTCTTCTGCTCACGGGCAAGTTTAGCTAACTAAGTACGGCTAACCTTGTTAGCGTACGGTTCACACTTACGTGGAGGATGCTTGCTAACGCTGTTATGTTAAATATAAATGTGAATTATTGTAGCCCGTCTTTTCATTCGCTGTGAAGGACCTCCAATTAGCACTCTGCAAACACAAGATTGTGGAAAAAAATAATTTCATATCAACACAATTACGAGAGATTCACTGTAGCATAATAAAAACCTACACGGTGATAATTAAAGCGGAGTGTTTTTGTCTTTTAGTACCGAGCATCGTCATCCTCACATGAAGGAGATGAACATCCTCAACACGCTCGTCACTTGCAAAGACTTTATCGCTATTTTGAGTTACTTTTAGAACTTTATTTGCACTTAGTTTGTATTACTATTCAATGTATTTATTATGGTGATTACATTTGTATTAACTTGTTACTTTGACGTTCAAAATCTAAAAAGTTATTGGATAGAAACAAACGGTCACACGTAGTCAAAAGGAATACTTGCCTCTTTGTTTCCAGGCGCCTACACTGGTAAATAATACGAACAATGCTGGTTATTGCAGCTCACCTGATGTGATTGGCTTTCACAGTGAACGGCTCCGAGTGTTCCGCCTTCATCATCCTCACCATGTATTTAAAAACTGACGGACTCAAAGGCTTCTTCTTCCTCTTCTTCCTGCTGACGAACATTAAGAAATCATCCACTCATTTCTATTGCACACACCCGTTACCCACAATGCACCTCTCCCTTCCTAAAGACTTTGACCCACTGACCCGTTGACTGTGGGACTCTGGAAGGCTTCGCTCTCCTCGTCGCTGTCGCTGATGACGATGGCGTCGCCGCCGGATGGTTTAGAGCGACCATTAGCACTGGAGTGAGGAGAGAGGACCTGCAGGATCTCACACACATGTCTACACGCACACGCACACACACGCACACGCACACCATCACCCCTGATGATCATCTCACATGTTACAACAGACAGACTGCTGCTTCCGTTCCCCCCACCTACCTCGCCCCGTTGCGTCCCACCACGTCCACCGTCTCCCCAGGGAAGAAGCGGTCCTTGACAAAGGCATAGACGACCTCGCAGAGCTCCGTCAGCCTGCAGCAGCGGCTGTGTGCGGCCAGGTGGAGTAGCGGGTGGAGCAGAGACACAGAGAAGCTCTGCAGGCTCAGCCGGGCCCGCCGCTCGCTGTCTGTGGCCTCCAGGTAGGTGAGCCCGGTCCGGCCCGTCAGTGAGCAGCTCCACACCAGGCTGTTACACAGGATGGTCCTCTCGAAGAACTCACTGGAGGACCACAACCAGAACCTCTGATCAATACCCGATCAATCAACGTCATCCACTACGGCAGGTGGCACCTCTCTGACTGCAGGTCCGGTCTGCAAACCGGCTCCAAAGTCTTCTCTGAGAATCACACAGGACGTCCTGACCGCTGAGCAGGTCGGAGACGTCTGGGTCACACCTGGGAGCCTACCTGTACACCTGGTTCTATCAGGTTATGACCAGTATGGAGATTATCCGAGAGCAAGAAGTCTAGCATTTCAAATGAGCGGCATTTCTGTTTCGCTTTGACTAGTTTGTATCGACAGGAAGGAGAGAGACTCACCTGTCGGGAGGACAGGTGAGTCTCAGCGGCGGCAGGCCCGCCTCACTGCTAACGGCTAACGCGGTTAGCTGACTTAGCTAACGTTACCGGGGTAGCTAAGTTAGATAACTTCAGCTAACATTACACCGGTCCTGTGGGAGCCCGTTTCCCGCCTCGGGGCGGACGCGGTAACCGGTCCACCGCCCGAGAACGCTTCAAGGAACCGGAAGTTGGGTTTGAGGGTTGTTGTGAGGAAGTTTGCCCAACGACCAACTGTCATCGAAAGTTGGTCGAGCGGCTCGAGCGTCCGTTGCGAGCGGGCCGCCGGTGACCCGGTGATCCGGGTACTCACTCGTAGCTTCTGAAGATCTCGTGGGTGATCTTGCAGAGGAAGACCTCCTCGTCCGGGCGCAGGTCCGCTGGAGGTCTCTGCCGGACGAAGGCTCTCCGGTGGAGCAGGGGCATCTTGTGGAAATAAAACTAGGGAAACCGGGTCAAAATGAACTGGACTAGAGAGCCAGACCGGGGCGGAACTAACCAGAGTCCGGTGTCCCGGGAGAACCGGAGTCCCACGCGGAAAGCGCTGGGGGAGGGGGGGGGGGGGCGAGCAGCGCGCGGGTCTTTTGTTAGAGTCCGTTAATCTGCGCACATGGAGCTTCTTGTGCTTCTCCTCCACACAATAGAAACACGCATCCCGACTCTACCGTCTCTTCGGGGACAAGATGGAGACACGACGGGGCGGTGAACCCGGTCCTCAGTCTCGGAGAAGCAGAAGTCGTCCCGGGATGAAGCCGAAAGCTGCTCAACTGGCGGCTTGTTGACCAAGTTTTCACCTACTTCAGGGACCCTCGCGAAGCTGGGGAATCTCAGTGCTCCGCTGCTCTCTGGTACTCTACGGCGCCATGTCCCTCTGACCCCTCCGTGAAATGATGTCATACGTTTTACTCTCTGATTTGAACGTCTTTCAGGCTCTTTCCTCAGAAGTTAAGTCATTTTAAATAGTGTTTTATCTTTTTGTAAAATTACTTCATGAATACATTTTGTCAGATTTCATGTTTTTTGCCCTTCGTCTTTAATCCTTAATGTTTTAAATGTATATAATTTAATGTGACATTCTGAACACACATGCCGTACTCTTTGTTTACATTTTTTTCGCCTCCATGCTCATTATCCCGTTTTTTAACGTCACGTAGCAAGGATTTGTGGGTAATTCAAGGGCTCAAAATGTCTGCCAGAGAGCCTCGGTGGTGGTCTGGTGGGAGTCAAATCATTAAAATAAGGGGTTCACGTGGTAAAAGATTCATTATTGATCTCATCTTCATTCAAACAACAAACATACGAATTTAAATTTATATTAAAACAGAAACAAAACTAGTAGAGCTCCAGGACCTGGTCACTGCTGTTTACCAGTTAAATGTTCGTGTGTTTCCGAGCTGTTGAGTGTCACATGAACGCACCTCATAGAGTAAGTGGGTGGAGCTTTGCTCTCATCCTTCGCGCCTATTTAGGCAGCTGAAGAAATTCAACCTGCCAAAGACGATGATGGTCCACTTCTACACGGCCATCATGGAGTCCGTCCTCTGCTCCTCCATCACCGTCTGGTACGCTGCAGCCACAGCCAAGGACAAGGGCAGGCTGCAGCGTGTCCTCCGCTCTGCAGAGAGGCTGATCGGCTGCAATCTGCCGTCCCTGCAGGACTTGTTTGCTTCCAGGACCCTGAAGCAGCTAAAAAGATGGTAGCCGACCCCTCTCACCCCGACAAAACCTGTTTGTGCCCCTTCCATCTGGCAGGAGGCTGAGGTCCATCAGGACTAAGACCTCCCGCCACACCAACAGTTTCTTCCCGTCGGCAGTCGGGCTCATCAACAGAGCCGGACCCCCACTGACTGACTCTGACATCACACCGGTCACTTTCTTTCACACTGCACACGTCACTTTAACTTGTCACTTTCTGTTCGCTGGTGCACTTTATTTTTTAATTTTTAACTAACTTTTATTACTTTATTTTTAAACAAACCCATAGCCTTATACTACTAACCCATAGCATTATATTGTATTGTGTCCCTCGTGCACTGCTGTCGTCCATTGTCGTACTGTCTGCTGTTACGCACCAACCGCCAAATTCCTTGTATGTCACATATTGTGGCTATAAATGATTCCTGATTCCTATTTGTCGGCCGTACCGTCACTCTTCCGCTGCGAGCCAATGGTTGCCCTGGTAACGGCACCAGTGACGACAGAGGAGGAAGCGGCAGGAAGCCGGGACCCGATGACGCAGAGTGAGCGACAGCAGGAAATGATGCGGCAGGAGGATGACACACTTTTTTTTAACAAGTCAATTGTAATCATACACTGGGGTCAGCGTGGCGCAGGGAACTGCAAGGTTGGTGGTTCGAGCTCCGGCTGCTCAAAGTCCCATGTTGAAGTGGCTTTGAGCAAGACACCCGTGTTCGCTGGTGGGCGAGACTGCCGCGCGCGGTAAGAGGACAATATTAAACGTGAAGAAAAACGCCTGGTGACGCGTGGGGAAGCTGTCAGAGGCACGAGCGCACATAGTTAGGAGAAAATCCGGTCAATTTTCAAAATAAAACATTTTTCAGAAAAAAAAAAATATATATATATATATAAGCTTTCTGTGGTGCGGCCCGGTACCAAACGACAGGTGGTTGGGGACCACTGAGCTAAATGACCTGTGATGTAATGTATTTTATTTGTAATCCACTGTTCATTAAAAAAAAAAATGTAGCTGTAAACTAATTGTCACTTTACTTTAGAGCGGGATAATAACACTTAAAATAATCCTAATGATAATACTATTGATATACAATACTGATAATAGTTTCAATATTAATGATAATATAATAATAATGCTAATATTAATAGAAATAATAACACGGTCCAGATAGAGAATACATCATTTATTTCCTGTAAACAAAACAAAGGGTTTGTTCACATCACATTTATAATCAGAAATGTTTTAAATGTGAATGAAATAGTTCTATATACAAGAAAACACTTTATTTTAATGTTTGTAGATTGAAACAGAGGTACCAGCAGGTCTGGTCCAGGTCACATGACCCTGTACAGGTGGATCTGTGTCAGTGCATCCTGGTCCATGTCTCCGCCCAGGTAAACCTTGTGGTCCACAGGAAGTTCCTCCACCCAGCCAAGCTGCAGGTCTACCTGTTGGATACAAACAGCAAGTGGTCCTCAAACTCCACCACCTCGCTACACTCTGACCTCATCTCACATGGAGGAGGGGTGGAGCTACAGGGATCAGGTGACACTGGTAAATAGTAAATTAACTGAATTTGTATTCCTCCAACCAATCAGAACCCTTTAACACTCCATGTCATCATTCACCCCTATTGATGTGTGTGTGTGTGTGTGTGTGCTTGACCCGAGCCGACAGATCGAATACAGGTCCACACACACCAGTGTTTCTCCTACCATTGAAGAAGAGAGGCCCCTCCAGGCGCCACCCCAGAAAGTCTGGATTTTTTTTGTACAATTGTCCACTCACTGAATACACACCGACACACCCCTCTGCCCGACACGTGTGCTCAAACACTGCACACACACTAGAGCACCACTTTACACTTTACACATGTACTTTAAACACTTTCTAGATGTTCTTCACCTGCAGACTGTTCAGACTTTCCTGCAGACCAGGAACACAAACCAGCAGAGATCCTTTTTTCCTGAAGTTCTCCATGACGAACCTCCACGCTCTACACACAAACACACACATTGAAAAATGTCATTCTTGTTCCACATGATAAGATTGAGAATGTGTGTGGGTGTGTTTGTGTGTACTGACCTGACTTGTTCACTGGGTTCCATGAAGAACTCAAAGACGTTGTTCAGGATGAGAACATCTGCCTTCTGCAGCAGAACATTCTGTAGCAGAACATCCGTGTGCAGAACCTGAAGGAGAAGAAAGTTATATGGTGTAGTGTGTGTGTACATATTATATACACACGCACACACACATGTTTATAATGTGTGTGTACCTGTATTCGGTCGGTCATCTTGTATTTCTGCAGGATGTTATTCTGAAGTTTGACAAACTCCTCATTGATCTCTAAACCAATCAGCTGAGAGGCGGAACTGAACACATGACCCTGGACACACACAAACACACTTAGTCTTTCCTGTGTTTGTTGTACATTGTCTCTATTGATGTCAGCGAGTCACCATATTAGCATGTATTCATTAGCATGTCTGCATGCTACCTTGTTAGCATGCTATCCTCTCACCCCGTACAGCACCGTTCCCAGTCTGGAGCCCACGTCCACCACAAGCTGACCGCTCAGGTCTGGAAGAACGTTCTCGAACAGGAAGCAAAGTTCCGATATGGAGAATGAGTGAGAGATGAAGTCTGAGGAGGAAGAAGAAGAGGATGAATATGATAAAGCGTGCTAGACTTTGTGTGGGATGATGAAGATATGTTCTGACCCAGAGGGGCGGTTCTGTGGGATCCACAGGTAAGACAATAGGACCGACTCATGGTTCCGTCCTCACACAGAAAGTCCACCTGATCTTCATCATACAGGAAACTGTCCACGTGGATCGTTGGGCGAGAGCACTGCTGCATCTGTGACAACCTCATCAGTTCATATATATGTACATATATATTATATAAACACACACATATACTAGTACCTTGTTATAAGCAGTAACCTCAGAGGAAAACATGGCATCTGGAGGAAGACTCCCTCTCAGATCTTCAGAGATGTTCTTCAGAACTTTCGTCTGGTTGTTGGACAGAAAGTCGTCGAACTCGTCTGCAGAAACAAGAAGTCAGAATGATCGGGTGAGTCCTCTATGAGGGGAGTCCTCCATCAAGTCCTCCATCGGGTGAGTCCTCCATCAGGTGAGTCCACCATCGGGGGAACTGGTGGACGTACCTGAACACCGGATCCACGTCAGCAGACCACGGACGTCACTCGGCTTCACGTGGCTCAGCAGCTTCTTTATCTCGGATTGGGCTTCCCAAAGATTCATGTTGGACCTTAAGACGTTGGAGACTGAAGAAGCGACGTGTCCGCGCCTTATGGTGGAACCGGAAGATCACCGGTCTCGCGTCTGAAACAACAATACTCCCGTTCATATTAAGACACACGAAACGAAGGCTGGATTCCAATAGTAAAACAGATCTCCCAACGTCTCTACCTAACAACCTTCCCTCTGCGGGAAACGTCACCGGCTGAAGGAGAATCCACGAGTTAGCAAAGACAACGCGGTGTTTAGGGAATACGACCCCACTTCCACTAACTGCGTAGATCAGATGCGACGGGAGACGCATGTTAGTGACGTCAGTGTAGTTAACGGGACCGTCAGACCTCTCCAGCACCCGGCTGTCACAGAGCCGCCAACTCTCACGGTTTCACCGTGTGACACACGCTCATGTTTTCACATCCAATATCTCACGCTAATAAAGGACCTCGGTCCGAGCCGCGTTGGTTCCTCTTCAACCTCGACGGTAGGTGGCGCCCCCCGGCCGCCGTAGCGTGTCCATCGTCCGCCCCGCCCCCCGGCCGCCGTAGCGTCTCCATCGTCCGCCCCGCCCCCCGGCCGCCGTAGCGTGTCCATCGTCCGCCCCGCCCCCTGGCCGCCGTAGCGTGTCCATCGTCCGCCCCGCCCCCTGGCCGCCGTAGCGTGTCCATCGTCCGCCCCGCCCCCCGGCCGCCGTAGCGTGTCCATCGTCCGCCCCGCCCCCCGGCCGCCGTAGCGTGTCCATCGTCCGCCCCGCCCCCCGGCCGCCGTAGCGTCTCCATCGTCCGCCCCGCCCCCCGGCCGCCGTAGCGTGTCCATCGTCCGCCCCGCCCCCCGGCCGCCGTAGCGTCTCTACATCTAAACTGTTCTACAATTAGACTAGTTTACTAGTTTTGTTTAATCAATTATTGAGATGAAAGGTCGGTCTTAAGTTGAGCTACATGACGGTATATTGTGGTACATTATTAGTGTGATGCTGCTTATGCTTCAACTGTAAAAGAAAACAGTACAAAACAATTATGTAACAACGCAAAACACTAATTCTCTCATTTACAAAGTGTGAAGCAAAATGCCAAGAAAAGAGAGACTGAAAGCAGAAGCAGTGGGAAAATATCCCACTGTTTGTTTATTTTATTATTCATATTTTTAGTCTGCTTTATTTTGGCAATGGGTGCCCTTTTGTTTTGGTTTGAGCACCCGCCCCCCACAGTGCGACCCCCAGCGGACTTCTTAGGAATAACATCTACTTTTATAGAAATGCAATTTATGCTAATATAGACTGTAAAGCCCTCTGAGGCTAATTTGTAATTTGGGCTTTACAAAATAAAATGAGAACTTGAATTGACCCCATGACGTTTTCCAGAGTTCATGGTTTTTTAGCAATTTTTTGGACCAATCGAATCCAGCGATCCTCACGTCCCTTCTTCACTTTCACGTTGATTACTTTATTTACCAGAGAAACACGCATATAAAAATTCATTTTTAAATAGCAATAATCTTTATTGATCAAAAGGTATAAACAATTATCATTATGTTAAAATAATTCATAATCCAGAAATGTCCTTTTCAACTTCAATCATCTATATACGCGTACAGAAAAAACGCCTTCCGTTTTGTCGTAGGGAATAATTTTATTGATTCAATTTTCCTTCTTCACGTTCTCTTAAATATCACAAAAAACTTGCTAATGTTTTATGTTCAAATGAGGTCGAAGTTCACCTGTCTCAGAGTGACTTATATATATTTCAACATTTAAAACATACAAATTGTAAAAAGGTGGCGGCACACTGGCGATGTCTCACGGCCTTTGGAAGGAGTCTTCATCGCTCTTCATCCCCATCTTCTCGGCCTTCTTCATGGCGCGTGTCTTTGAGCGCCTTATCAGACAACATTTCACCGTCACCGCAACGACCAGCACCAGCAACGCCAGCGTCGCCGTGGCAACCAGCACCGGCATCAGGACGCCGGCCATCGTGGCTTCGGCGCACGCCGGCGAGTCCTCGTCAACGCGTTCCCCGTCCTGGTTGGAGCAGAAGCACCTGAAGGAGCCTGCCGTGTTAAGGCAGCTGTGCCTGCAGGCGGCGCCGGCGCACTCGTCCACGTCCACGCAGAATCCGGACTCGTCTTTCCGGAAGCCAGATCCACACGGCACGCACACAGTGGAGAAGTTTGCCGGCGAGCCGTCCAGAAGTCCCCAGACAGGGGGATGGCCCGAGCAGAGCAGCTCCACCCGGTCAGAGGACCAGCACTCCACCTGGATCCGGCTGCTGTTGTCCAAGCTGATGGAGCGAGCACTGGGGATGAGGGGGTTCTGACAGGAACCGGACCCGAGCTCAGGTCGAGTTTCAGGCTTCGGGTCGGTTTCAGGCTTCGGCCCGAGAGAAGGAAGCCCAGGTTCTCGTTTAGATGTGTCTGGTTGTTGTGTTGAAGGTCTTGGTTCTGATTTAGCCGGAGTAGCATGCGTTGGTGGTTCTGGTGCAGCTGATTTGAGTACTGCTGTTGATTGTGATGCAGCTGGTTTTGGTAGTTCTGTTGGTTCTAATCCAGCTGGTTTTGGTGGGGAAGTTGGCTCTGATGCTACGGATTTTGGTGGTCTCGGCGATGCTGCATTTTGTGTTTCCGGTGCTGCTAGTTCTGTTGGTTCTGGTTCTGCTGGTTTGGCACTGGTTCCTCCATCTCTCAGCTTACAGATAAACTGGTAGTTGCTCTTACAGCTGACCGGGACCAGTCCCCAGCTGGTGAAGTTGGACCCATCCCACCGCCCATTCAGCACCGCGCAGCGCACCGCCGTGCAGGTGTCCTGCGGCTCCTGTGCCCATTGGCTCACCTGGAATTCTTGACTGCCATCCTCGGTCCACTTGAACCCCCTCAGAGGGAGCGTGGGAATGACGCACTCATCCTTGAGCTTCTTCAGCCCGACCCAGAAGTTGAATTCCTCCTGAAACGGAGTCGCTGAGCCGGAGACAAACCCGAGGACATCGCGGACCTCCTGTTGGCTGGAGAGCTTGGTGAGGACGCCGGGGCGGCAGAGCTCGGAGGCCTGGTGGAAGCTGACCCGATCACTGTGGACAGTGTAAGGCGGCGAAGAGGCCCAGATGGTTCTGAAGAAGATCACAAGGGGTAACCAGCAGAACGAAGACTCCATCTTCTCTGAGTCTGTTACGATAGGAAAAAAAATCAGGCAGAGTGAACGTCCTCTAATGCCATTATGGTGTAAATCATCAGCATCTTATATTTAATGAAGGTTAAAACACACTATACCATGTAAAAGGGTTTCTAACACACTAACTTGTGCACATGTAATACAGGGTTTATAATGCATGCTAGCAAGTAAACATGTAATAGATGGGTTATAACACACTAACTTGTGCACATGTAATACAGGGTTTATAATGCATGCTAGCAAGTAAACATGTAATAGATGGGTTATAACACACTAACTTGTGCACATGTAATACAGGGTTTATAATGCATGCTAGAAAGTAAACATGTAATAGATGGGTTATAACACACTAACTTATGCACATGTAATACAGGGTTTATAATGCATGCTAGCATGTAAACATGTAATAGATGGGTTATAACACACTAACTTATGCACATGTAGTACAGGGTTTATAATGCATGCTAGCATGTAAACATGTAATAAATGGGTTATAACACAAATAGCTGTGATATAGAAAGATAGATTTTGTTCTTCTACTTCTCCTGAAGGTTTATACGATGTCATAAACAAGTTACTTGATGTTTATACATATTTAGAAATCATTACAATCTGTGATCCTGTGAACACACAAGATAGTTTCTACCACTACGACGCGAGTCATTTCTCCAGTTTTCCATAATAAAGTCAGACTTTAGTCCACTTAAAAATAAATGCTGCCGTCTGAGTGAAGCAGTTTTATTCTGAACTTTCCAAAAGTAGAGTTGAATTATGTCCATCATTTATAGAAATGTTTATCCATCAATATATCAGAGAAATTGAGAGCAGTTTGAGGACACGGGATCTGGAAGCTTCGTGTCCCACATCTCGTTATCGCTTTAATTGGGTTAACGTTTAAAACGCCAAGGTGAAGCTTTTCTTACCGTCCAATTCCTCGTTTATCTCCTTTACGTTGAGTTTCTCTTCTCGCTGCCTCTGTATATCCAGCTTCTCCTGGTTCCTCCTCCACACGCCCTCCCTCCAGGACAGGAAGTGTGCAGAGCCTTGATACGGCGAGCTGGTTTCCTGCAAAGAAACTTCGCAAACTCAGACGAACACGTCGGGATTCTGATTTCAGTGTCCTGTTGGTTCAGAATGTGGATGTGAATCGGAGCCATTTATTGCCTCATGTTACAGAGGAATCAAATAAGACAAATATACATGAACTATAAACAGATGAGTACATTAAAACATGTTTCCATGCAGAGGCCACTGAGGAAAGGTTTCCCCTCGAGTATTTCACGGTAATCGTCCAATACAACAGGCCTTGAAAAGGGGACAAACGCACACACGAGGAAGTGAAGAAGAATGACAGGAAGTCACAGGTTATGAAGGGCGGCGCCGGGACTAATGGACCCGTTGTCCTGGCAACACTGGGACCCCCTGAAACTGCGTTTGTGTGTCGATCATCAATAGATTCAATAAAACTTAATAAACTTTATTTTTATTAAGAAGAAAAAGATTGGTAGCATTATGGAACATTCATAAAATAGAAAATAAACTCTAAACTCGCTACTGCTGTAGCTGGTTTACGTCATAAAATAAAGACAATAAAGTTCTCTTCAGTTTTAATAGAAATGAGAATACAGATGGAACACATTGAAAACAAACTATCAGATGATCAATACAGCGATAAGTCATTAGAACCTCAGAACATTGGACCTCAAATCCGTCACCATGAGGCGGACAAGTTACGTTGATCAGGTGACTTGAATCAAAATCATCCTCAAATAAATATTTTGTTTTCTGACAAAACAGATTCACATCTGCTGAAGTATTACAGAGGATTGTATCTTAGCAAACATAGAAGAATGTTATTTGTAATTCGCTTTCCACAGGCAGCTCTTGGTTTTCATACATAATCACTAACTAAAGGAACATATTGATTATACATATTACATATTGATCTCACTTCCTGTTGCTCCTTTACAGTAAAAGTATAAAAACCACTGCTGTTTTAATTGTGAAAGACTTCAGGAACACGTTGTTCTGATTGGCTGAGAGCAGGAGGACGTCGAGCTGCGCTCGTTTGTTATTGGGTCAAGCAGCAAGTCAGGCGGCGCTGGAGACGGCCAGTTTCTTCAGGTGGTCCATGAACACCTGCAGGCTGACGTCATCCGTCAGGATGGGAGCGCCAGACTCCTGCAGAGGACACACAACCGGTATCATAGCAACCAATAGCACAGCAACTAGCGTCATAGCGACACCGTGGTGATCTGAGGGTCTCACCTGTCCCCAGGCGTACATGTTGTTGTGGGTCTGGGACGGGTTCACTTTGGAGAGCAGGAAGCGAGCCTGGAACACATCATCACATCTTCATCACATCCATTATGATCATCATCATCATCATCATGGTCAATGTCGGAGAAACATTCGTCAGTCAGTATTCTCAGACGACAGTCAGGGGTCTCTGTCCAGATGTTTGTGCGTCAATGTCCAGATGTTTGTGCACTGTGGCCTGTCAGTACGCGGGGCGATTCCTCAGCCAACGATTGGCCGAAAAGTGTGATTGACAGCTCATTGGACTGGTTAGAGCCATTTCCATGGGACTGAGTGCACTGTTACCCAACAACTGTTTCATGGGGACGGTCGGGCTGCCGGCTGACACCTAACCAGGACACAGCAGGTGTCACATCCCAGGTGTGTGTGCTCTCCGAGCGTATGCTCACTGTGCAACTACAGATAAATACTTTCAATATAAGTTGCATTTGTTGGATTGACGCTCGTTGTGTGTCTCCGGTGCAACACAGAACAGCTGCATGAGGCCCGAGAGCACAGCGTTCTACCGCGAGACGTTTGTATATTTAGTCAAATAAAGACGAAAGAATCAAACGATCTCCTGTCATTCGCCTGAGTCACGTGTCTGCAGAACGCCGCTACACTGACCGTCCCATGGGACGGAGGAGGGAGCGGGGGGTCACCTGTGTCTCCCATGGGACGGAGGAGGGAGCGGGGGGTCACCTGTGTCTCCGATGGGACGGAGGAGGGAGCGGGGGGTCACCTGTGTCTCCCATGGGACGGAGGAGGGAGCGGAGGGTCACCTGTGTCTCCCATGGGACGGAGGAGGGAGCGGAGGGTCACCTGTGTCTCCGATGGGACGGAGGAGGGAGCGTCACCTGTGTCTCCGATGGGACGGAGGAGGGAGCGGAGTGTCCATCGGGGAGGAAACTACACTTTAATAACGGAGTGGAAACACTGACTTAAATAATTGTAAATAGAAGGCAGATGGCTAGCTAGCCACTGTAGCTGCCAAGCAGTACGCTATCGTTAGCTGTTGGGGGCGGCGTCATCAAAGTAGTGTAAATAAAGTTTTTCCATCGGCTCAGGCACCGAAATCTGCATTGCGTTTCGGATGGGACGCGTTCCAATATGGTACCGGTTCTCCGTGCTGCTCTTCTCCCTCAACTGAAGTGGGGCTCCAGCATCGACTCCATTGGGAAAAAGGCCCAGCAGAGGTTGTACTTTGTGCGCCAGCTCAGAAAGTACAACCTGCCTCAGGAGCTGCTGATACTGTTCTACTCTGCCATCATCAGTCTGTTCTCTCTTCCTCCATCGCTGTGTGGTTTGGATCGGCCACCAAACAGGACCGAGCCAGACTACAACGGATTGTCAGGTCTGCAGAGAAAACTATTGGTTTCAGCCAATAGGTGGACGCCTCCAGAGTCAGGAAACGGGCTGGTAAGATCACTGCAGACCTTCACACCCTGGACACACACCTCCTCCCTTCTGGTAGGCGCTACAGAGCACTGTACGCCAAAACCCTAATCCCCATGATGCACGGCGATATGGGCGTACAGATGGATGGAGCACAGTTATTAAGGTGTAGTACATAGTCAGTGAGGAGTGAGCGCCCCCACCTGGCTGCCTCCGTGCTCCGTGTCGATGTATCTGGGCATCGGGAAGCGAGTGTGGAGCAGCTCCTGAGCATCATCGACCGGAGCCTGGAGAAGGTGTCGGAAGTTCTCATACTCAGACATCTCCTGGTAACCAGCCTTCCTCCACTGAGCTACAGTCTAAAAGACAGAAAGCAGGGATTGAAGAATAGTGAGAGCCATGTGCAATAGAGCCTGACAGACACAGACCGGGGATTAACTGACAGTGTCATCAATCGGGGGGAAACCACAACTAAACAGTAGGATCTTTTTTTTCTTAGTTTCATAATTAAATACGCACTATGACACAAACATCCTGTCCATTCAGAGAGACATAGAGTGTGTCCTCAGTGTGTACTGAGACCTCCGAGTACCTCTCCATGGTAGATGAGGATCTGGAAGAAGGTGTCCATCAGCAGGATCCGGTCCGGCAGGATACTGCTGCTGTCCAACAGAACCGGCTGAAAATCACAAACATTTAAATAATTATTAGAGTTTAACAGTTAACAGAGTATCTTTAGTACATGTACATTAGAGTGTTAACATTACACGCTCTACTCCCCAGCATCCGCTCTACTGTCCAGCAGGGGGCGACTCCTCTGCTCCCATAGACGTCTATGAGGAAATGACTCTACTTCTCTGTAGTGACCAGCAGGGGGCGACTCCTCTGCTCCCATAGACGTCTATGAGGAAATGACTCTACTTCTCTGTAGTGACCAGCAGGGGGCGACTCCTCTGCTCCCATAGACGTCTATGAGGAAATGACTCTACTTCTCTGTGGTGACCAGCAGGGGGCGACTCCTCTGCTCCCATAGACGTCTATGAGGAAATGACTCTACTTCTCTGTAGTGACCAGCAGGGGGCGACTCCTCTGCTCCCATAGACGTCTATGAGGAAATGACTCTACTTCTCTGTAGTGACCAGCAGGGGGCGACTCCTCTGCTCCCATAGACGTCTATGAGGAAATGACTCTACTTCTCGGTAGTGACCAGCAGCACCAACATGAGTTTATGGTCTCAGTCTCTAGTTTCAAGTCTTCTTCAAGCAGAAGATGTTATTTAGTGATTATCCATTAGAGTCAAGCGGGGACGCTTTAGGGCGGGGCTACACGCTGATTGACAGGTCTCTAAAAGACTTGGTCTTTAAAAAGGTTGATAAATACCTCAGGGGGTCCGCTGAAGGAGTAGGCGTAGAGCACAGGTTGGACCATGATGAGGGCCTGAGTCAGGTCCTGTCTGTTGAACTGATGCCGGTAGTATGAACTCTCATCTGGACTGTTGTTGAACACCTGGAGGAACGGAGAGCGGCGCAGGTGGAACATGAACTGTTCAAAAACAACAACACAAGTCAGTTAAAACACACAACCAGTCAGTGACAGGTAACTTGGTTAAATACAGGCAGAACAACCAGATGTAGGAAGGATACAGAGAATTATGGGATGTAAATCACCTGAGGGTAGAGGGAGAAGGTCTCAGAGAACCTGAAGGAGTTGGGATCATCTTTGTGGTAATCTCCAAACTTTTGACACTGAAGAGAAACCGAGAGACTGCATTGTTGATTATTGATCATGGTTATAGTTTATGTATTGACTATTAATTGTGGCGCACCAGTCTGATCAGCTGTCTGTCCAGCCACCGGAGAACATCAGGACCCTCCTCCGTCTCCGCTCGGTACACAGACAACCTCGCCATCAAGATGGCCGCGGCCTCCTGGTCAAAGGATGCAGCGATGCTTTGGATCTGCGTCTGAGCATCCGCCCAGCTGTGAGAGGGGGGACAAAAGAGGGGAGGGGGAAGAAGAGGTAGAGTGAAGGGGAGGAGGAGAGAGTGAAAGAGACGGAGGAGAAGAGGAAGAACAGTGAGGAGGAGGAGGGGTGTAATGATGTAAATATGTGCAGATTACAATAAACTGTCTCTGTGTGCGTCTGTTACTTCCTGGCTGTGGTGGTGACCCGGATGCGTCTCTGTCCTGATGAGTGTTGGTACTGAGTAACAAACTGAATCGCCCCCCGGCCGCCCTGAGGAATCGGAGCGTTGTGCTGCAACAACAACAACAACAACAACTCGTTAATACTGCTCATCAATTATCAACCAGTAAACCCATCATAGGCTGATCGTACGTTGATCTTATTCTCACACATGTAACACATGAACAGGACTTGTCTCTATGGCAACTCATTCGGTTTCTAATCAAACGACCCGAGGGATAGAATGCTGCTCTCTGATTGGTCTGAGGATCAGCAAGAGCAGGTGATCACATACCTAAGTTTCCCGTAGATATTGGCTGTTTAGATAATGTTGACAGAGCGAGCATATAACAGCAGGTGTTAGGGAATACTTCTTATTGTGCTATTATCATTACGCAATGTACGGTTTCATTGTCCTGGAAGCTGTGGCAGAGACGGTGGAAGCTTTGGCAGAGACGGTGGAAGCTGTAGCTAGTGGCCCGGCTGACGCCTGCTG